CGATGACTCAGTCTTCAATCAAAGATAATGTGAATCAATGAGGACTTTACTCTCGAAACGGTTAAGAGACTGTTAATAATAAATAATCCTTGCATTTGATATCCTGCCTTCACTTACTTCACAGTCAAATCTCAGCTCGTGATTTCTGGTCTGCGATTGCGGGGATTTAGACGCTATTGTCACAATCAGTGATTACTACAGACCCTTCAGTTATGGCTCAATAGAGAGTGTGGCCACAGAGACAGACAGATCCCTGTTGAGCAACAACAACTTGCATTTATATAACCCCCCCCTCACGCAGGGTAGTGTCCTGGAGCAGTCTGTACTGGTAGCAAAAGCTATGGGTATAGAGTCACTACACTTTACAGTATATTCAGCAATTATGCTGGTGACCGATTAAACACAGTGTTAGCTTTGACTCCGTATCTTACTCACTTGGCTCTAGCTATAGGTCTCTGCCCAGCATCACTCCAGGATCAGTCTAGAAACCAACACAGAGCAGTTCTGTAGCCAGGGCATCTCGTTTCCTTCCTTGCTCCAGTTGGAAATGAGGGGGAAATTCCTTCTAGTTGAGAACTCGAGGGGATCCAGCCTTGAATCTGCTCATTGGAAACATATTTTGCTCCGTTTGCTCTTTGGGTGGGTTTTTCATTCGTTCCCCTGTTCTATGTAGGAGGGTAGTCAGTGCCTTGGGACATCTTCCCCATGTGGAAGGCCCTAAACAAATGCAATTCTGTGTTGTATTTTGTATTGTATTTGGGGCAGATCAGCTGCCAGGTTTGCCTCCATATTCACTTCATTTACAATGAATATCATTCTGTAAAGGCCTTCAAGATGTTGTTTACACTTGCCAAGCGCTGCCTGAATGTCAGTTGCTATCGTTGGTTCTTCCAATGTATTCAGGAGAGGAAGGTGATCTTATGGAGAACTACACAGGTCTATGCCACGACGGCTCAGTCTAGGGTCAGGCACTGGATCATCCAACCTGCAGATAGCAAACCACACAGCAGCAATGTGTAGGTGACCAACAAAAAGCCGAGGAATTCCTGGAGATCTCGGAGAAAGGTGGTCGCTGTCACTCCTGAGACTGTTTTGACCATGGTGGAACAACAACCAACGACAGGAGGATTGCTGAGGCCCCAAGGCAGTCGACTGTCCCTTTCTGATCAGAGAAAACAAACAAGACATTAATCAGTGAGTCAGTAACTGGAGGGGACAGATTTACCTAATTACCAAAAGGGCAAAAGGGTGAGTGAGGTTTGGAGTAATTCTTTTCTTACTCAGTGGGTTGCGAGGGTATGGAATGCCCAGCCTGGAATTTAGTTTGGTGGTTGAGGCACAATTCATACTGGAATTTGAGAGACAACTAAACAATTGTCAGAAAAGAAGAAATATAAACGGGCTTGCAAAAAAAGGCAGGAGGAACGAGGACAAAACATTAGGCAAGTTTCCTTACCCCCCCCCCACCCACACACACACACACACACGCCTTTGTTTCCCTAGCAGTAAGTAGGAGCCCGCTTGTTATTCGATTGGCGGATTGCTTTTCCGGGGGTAATAATCCCTTCAAATAAAAAATAGCAATTTGGACACTCAACCCAAATGGATCCAGCCATAATCTACAGCCTTTCGGGGGAGGGAGAGAGTTCCAGATTTACACTCCCCTTTGGGTGAAATACTGCCTCCTGATTTCACTGCTAAATGGCCTGGCTCTCATGTTAAGATTATGCCCCTTGTTCTGCATTCTCCCACCAGAGATTATAATGACCTCAAAGGGGACTGAATGTAATTGATCCAAAATGCAATGAGGGGTCCCAAACCAGCGAGATGATCTGCAGCAGCAGCAATGGGAGTGTTTTATACAGATATCAGAAAGAGGTACCCAAAACTGTAATGGATATTCATTGCTCAAAGCGCTCATTAGCCTCATTGCTCTCTACATGATCTCCCTGCTGCTGTGTAATTGCTTTGGTGAAAATGTTACAGTACACATATAATTAGAGGAAACGTGTTTCTCTAATATAGAGACTCTCAACCACAGATGGGATCATTAACTAATTATCTTTATGTATATTAGTTGTAATAGGAGATTCATTCCCTGGTGAAAGGTCTACTGTGAGATAGTAAACAAAATACACAGTCAATTCACTTTACAGTATATTGTGTGAAGCGCTTTGAGGTGTGTCGAACACGAGATGAGGCGCTACATCAAAGGCAAGGATATTTATTGTTATTCCTCGCACACTGGGGAACACCATCAGTGCTCTCCTCTGTTACTGACCCTTCTGAGGGTGACGAGGTCTGCAAGGTGCATTTTAACCAAAGCACTTCACGGCCTGAGTATGACATTGAGGGATCTAAACTCAACTGATTTAGCTGTGTAGCTCAGCATCCTGACTCCCTTGTTTACTGCAGCCTCACACTGTTTTGACATAGTCAGCAATGAGTCAACTAACACCCGTTAGTTGACTAACAATAACCCTTGTATTTGTTATTGCAACTATAACCGTCAAAACATCTCAAGTGCTTCACAGAAACTGTGGCTCTGTCTTTGTAGGTAAACAGAGCAGCCAATTAGGACATATCGAAGTCCAGCAACTAGTCACGAAGTTTGAATGAGCAATTTATCTGGAGGATTCTTGGCCAGGAACCCAAGAGAGATTCCCTTCTCTGCCTCCACCCTGAACTCCAGGACCCACTGCTGTCCTACAGGATGTCCTTCGGACCTCTTCGGCCACCCTCCCCGATCCCAAACCCCACCCCAGCTCGGGTCCAAAACCCCTGACTGTCTGGCACCTTGGAACATCCTCCTGACGTGAAATGTAACGGGGTATTGTATTGTTCTGTTCAGCACGAGGACATTACCAGACCGAGCATTCTGAGCAAGAACAGTTTACAATAGAGGGAATGACTTCTCATGTCTCAACAGCTCTGTCTGCTGGTTCTATATGGCAATCACATCTTCCTATAGTTTATTCACAGGCCGTTTAGTGTCTGCTCCTCTTCACACTTGCCCAGACAACCCAATATTTGGTTAACATTCTTTTTCACAGACATTTTATGTCCTGGCTGTAAGAGAGCGAGAAATCTTGAGACTAACGTCAATAACATACATGCCACTTGAAACACATCACTTGAGACGTCTCGAAGTCGTGATCAGGCGCTCTTATCAAATGCAAGGATTATTAAACACATCTGGTCTTGGAACTAATAAACTCTCGTGGGTGAAAGCGTCTGTGTTACTAGCATCTGAACATATTCTCCTACGTGGAACCCGTGTCACAAGACTGTCACACGAGAAAAATGGAGATCCAGCGCCTTGGGACATCCTCCCACAACATACCCAGTCAATTCATTTTACAGTACATTCTGTGAAGCGCTTTGAGACGTCTCAAAGACGTGATAAGGCGCTGTATCAAATGCAAGGATTATTATTATTGTATTATGACTTCAAGTCTGAAATACTGATATTTTATTCACGCCCAGGAATCAAATGAAAAAACAAAACAAGTAAAACTTACGTACCCTGTAGGAAAGAGTTTGAAGACGTTCGCCTTTCGGTACAAGTGTTTGTCTGTTGTAGTTACAGTGCGTCTCACTGGCTGAATGTCTCCTTTGAAGCTGGTGCACGTAGCTTTTATTTCTGATGGAGAATCCCCCCCCCCACCAACCACCCTACAACCCTCCTCCATTCAGAGAGAATGGGCAGAGCTCAAGTTCTTAGCTCTGATTTATGACCCTTGAGCAATAAAGTCACTTCGCCTGTTACTGCTCTGGACTGTCTGCCAATGGAGAAGTAACGAAACATTCTTTATCTGTGATTCTTTATCGCCTACAAAATATACAGTCAATTTACTTGACTTTTGAGTCAGGGACTTTTAACTTTTGAGTTTATTCCATAGGAAATGTCTTTAAACATGGGTGAGCCAGGGTGGGGTGTGATCGTTGAACTTTAACCCCATTTACAGTATATCCTGTGAAGCACGTTGAGACGTCTCGAGGACGTGATAAGGCGCTGTATCCAATGCAAGAATTATTATTATTGTATAGCCAGTTGCAGATGATGAATGGCTCCCCATATGTCCTTGCAGCTCCCAGAGAACATATTCAGATATGCCTTGGGTCTGTCACGTGATCCCTTATCATGGGTTACCCAGGTACCTTGTAACCTTTCTATCATTGTGAGACATGACGGGCCTGGCAGGATACAGCCTGGTGGGGTATTGGACCATTTAAGAATAAGCACAATTTAATACCGCACTAAATCAGATCGGAAACCTCGCCTTCTAACATCCACGCACGCGTCAAGCCATCAAACAATGTTTCCTCAGTAAACAAATAGGCCGAGGTGTGAGTTTTGCGATTACACTGCAGCATTAATCTCACCACCAGAGGTGACCAGACTAAATGAACCCATTAACAACAGTGGCTTTGAATGGTGGCAATGTGCGTGCGTGCACAAGTGAGATAAGCAACATGAAGCGGCTGCCTGGAGCACAGCCAAGCAAACATTGTCACCTAACTGCAGTTACGAGGGAAAATGATCCTGGCTGCCTGTAGAATTTATCAACCTGAAAACACACCGGTCTGACTTAACCCTTCTCTAGTCACTGTGAACCAGTTTAAGAAGTGGAGTCGTGTAGCTTAGCGCTTACAGCACTCGTCTTGCAAGCGAGAGGACCCGGGTTTGATTCCCGGGCAGAGCGGAACATCGTTAGGCGAGTTTCCTTACTCCACACGTCTCCGTTTACCTGGCAGTAATCAGGAACCCGGTTGTTAGTCAAATGGCGGGTTGCTTTTCCAGGGGGTAATAATCCCTTCAAAACAATCAAACAAGTAAATAATAATAATAATAATGAGGTCACTAAATCCATGACCGTTTGTGGGACGCTGCTGTGCGCAATTGGCTGACCCGTTTCGCCCAGAAAATGTAAGTTAACAATCGAGGAATTTTGAGAAAATTTGAAAGAAGGCGGTACTGTGGGGGCATTTTTCTGTTTCAATAGTTTTATTGGTTTACGTTGAAAATGTTACAGAAGACGGGCAATTTATATCTCGAGCAAGCTTTGACACTCTTTATTATGATTATAATCTGAACAAAATTCAGATGATGGATAAACATCTTCTTGTTTAATATGATGTAATATACACATAAGTACACACACACTGCAATAGCTTAATATCCTAGTCTGCTATGATATGATATAACTGCAAATTACAAATCGCACCTCAACCTACTACACATCCTGTGTTCGATGAAATATGAGTATTTTGAAATTCATTCCGCATTTGACCTTCCACCCTGAACAATATCACCCTGTAACAAACTTCCAGGCACAATTGTCACAAACAATTTGAGTAATAAAATGGTAGGTGATGTTGGGCAAGGGAATAGTCCGTCACCCAGCAAAAATGGACAGCAATTACATTTGTGCCTATTGTGAAATGACCCCCCTCATCCGAGTCATCTTAAAAGGAAAAGGGTTTTGTGCATGTTATTGTCTAGTCATCCGTATCATCAGTTAGGACAACACATCATTGCTCCAGACATCTCAAAAATGCATAGGGATTGTCATCTGTTATAAGAGTTCAGATTGAAGTAGTGCGGGGAGGTGAGGCTCTCAGGGAGAGGCAAGGGATGCTGGACTCCTGTCGTGTGGCTAGCTGTTTGCCTTAGATTTTCATAGCATAGGGCCCAATGTTGGTATCCTTTAAGTTGTGAGTGTTGTATCGTTTTAGAGATCCCCACCTGGGAATAGGTTCGGAGATATCTGACTTGCCAGTTGATCTACAGCTAGAAGAGAAACAGAGAAGTATTTAATAATACAGTATATCAATTAGAGTCAGCTTTGATTTAAATTGAGGAGTCGTGAAATGTAATATTTCTCCACTGGGTTCTGTAATATATCCATTTTATATCATAATATATTACTGACCCACAGGAACTTTGCTACAGTCAGAAAGCAATTAAACAGTTACTCAAAAGTTTGGCTATGGAGTTACATTAGACCACGATGGTCTGGGGTTCAGTTGAGGTCAGACGCACCCTTGAGGTGCCTGACAGTATCCTCTTTGGTCAGGGGCGCGGAGGCGGATAAGATGGGTATCCTTAGAGCTGTGCTGGCTCCAAGGTGCTTGGTAACAGAACATCAGAGTCAAATCAAGCTTTGTGGCAGACTCAACAGTATTTCAGGGCACTGCTGATGATAGCTCAGCCAGTCTGCCTCACCAGCAGGGCTTAGAAGGGCCCAGCAGTCATTGGGAGCGGGGTGTTTCCCCACTCAAATGGGTTGGCTGACTTACCAAACCATTAGGAGCATGGCCACGAAGAAAGCCAGCAGCAGGAAGAGCAGGACACTGAGGATTGCTGTGATGACTATCATGCCAGCAGAGCGACCACGAGGCGAGGGATCAATGTTGCGGGGTTCCACCACTGGAGAAAAGGGCAGCATTTTAAAAATGAACACAAACATGGTTCAAACACGACCTCGGCCTCGAGTGGCCAAGTGAAAAGCAACGAAACAAAACTCACGACAAGGTGGATTTTCTATCTGTGACACCCAAGGGTAGTCAATGTTAAATATCAGTTACACAAAGTGTGTGTCTCCTGCTCAAATACATAGTAACATCAGAAACAAAAGACCATTAAGCCGATCGAATTCACTCCACCACACCCCATTCCACGGCCCACATACTCCAAACTCCCCTAACCCCATCTAACCCTTTAAATATGCTCTACAAATTGAACTTTTTTTTCTATTTGTTTTCCATTTAAGGACTATTTGAACTTCTCCCGATTCTACACACTATCCGCAAGGTCATTCGGACCTCCCTCATATCCCTCCTCCTGCTGGCCCACATCTGCTTCCTACATACTGAAGAGTAGTGTGGATCTTAAGGTATTTTTTGGAAAGGTTAGACTTCAATAATTTTAATACTTACCAGTTTTCAGCGAGATGAAACTTGACCAGTTTGTTTGAGCAATAACATTTGGAGAGTTCTGGAGGGAAGGATTAATCAAAATAAACTTCACACTGAAAATAAACACAAATAGCAAAGCTTCAATGTTGAGATTCTTTCACAAGAGAGATTCAGATGAAGAACGCCTTCTGGCACATTTGATCTCACTTTCAGAACACTCACCCTGGCATCCATCCACAAACAAATGGTCCTAATAAACAACAACATACACATTGGCAAATATCATCCCATTGCTTAAATAATGTGCATTGCCTGACTGGCCTTACCTGTAGCTTTTGGAATTATTTAAAGGTACATTGCAGGTTTCAGTTCTACAGGTGGTTTCCTGCCCAACACGCACAAAGTACATTTCACCGTTAGAGCTGGAAGTCGGTGGGCATAAGTATCTTTCTGCTAATGTGCGAAGAGTGAGATAATAATCCGCCGTGGAAGCAGTTTGGTGAGTCATCAGTGAAGGTTGCACAAATGTAATTGCATCAAAGGTATTCTGTCCTCCTACATTGACAGGGGGAAAAAACTCATCAGTACCTTCTGGAAATGGGGTATCCAAACTACAAAGTTAAGTCCAGTTAATGTGAACATCACAACGACAGATTGTCATCATTCCTTTTGTGAATGTGTCGCTAATCCAAGATTCCTTTTTTCCGGTGCGCTAATTTGAAGATTAAGAAACATAGCTCTGTCCTGACGAATACCTCCGATTCATCTGAAGAATATTATAAAACAGTCATTTCATTCAAACTAAACCCATTAGTGAAACAACTTGAGATATGCTTAAAAGGTGCTGAATAAACACATTATCATATTCATCCTAATGGCCCCTCATCCTACACATCGAGTTGTATAAATCACAGCCATTCAGCCCGTTGAAAGTATCCTGATGCCAGCTATCTAGAAAGAATATATTTTATAGTGTCTTGAATACTTTTCTCGGGATTTATTGCCAGTAATTGTTGATTACATTGAATAGTCTTCACAGTATTTATTGCCGATGTCAAAGAGGCTGATTTATTGTCCAGTGTGACTATAAGGTCACGTGGGACTTCAGTTTGGGACCTGACTTGTGCAAGTGACTGCCAGGATGGTGGAAAGGGAACTGGGATGACCTTGGTCTTCTTTCTAACCAGCAAATTCTTATAGTTTTTGATGTAAAACATAATGTCTGGCTATATGATGCGGATACTCACGTTGGCTGTTAGCCACCACAAGCCAAAAAATCAAGCCTGGAGTCGCGTTGATTTCACTGTCAAACTGGCAGAGGGGTTGTTGAAAAGTAATGGTCGTTGCAGTGATTCTTCCGGCTAAATTGGCGTTAGTGACTTCAGGTGTGTAATTTTTTACTGAAAAATAAAAATACGAGATTCCATTGCAGTCAAACCACAAGAAGAACAACAATAACAATAAAATTACATGTGTCTAGTGCCTTTCACGTCGGGAGGACGTCCCAAGGCGTTGGACAGAGTTACGGACCTGAGCTGGGGGTTGGGATCGGGGAGGGTAGAGGGCGGGGGGAAAGCAGGGTGATCAAAAGCATAGTAAAGAGGAGGGTCTTGAGTTGGGTCTTGAAGGAGGCAAGGGTATGGGACAAGGTGGCGGGACTGCGGGTTGGAGTTCCAGAGGTTGGGGGCAGAGTGGCAGAAGACCCACCCGCTAATAGTGGGGCGAGCGAGGTGGGGGACCTGAAGCAGGCCAGAGCTCGCTGAGCAGAGGGAGTGAGCAGGATGGTAGGGGGTTAGGAGGTCGCAGAAGTCGGGGGGAGCAAGACCATGGAGGGCTTTGAAGGTGAGGACCAGGATCTTGAACTGTATCCTCTGTGTGATGGGAAGCCAGTGGAGTCGGGCGAGGATGGGGTGAAAGGGTCACGGAGCTGCAGAAACCCACCAGTAGAACAATATAATTCACTACCATCAGAGTATGTGTGCAACACATCAATCTTCCCTACAGATATTGTCTCAGATTACATAATAATAATAATCCTCATGCCCAATACGTCACCTAGAATTTGGAAACATCAAAATACAGTACCTCACAGCGCCTCATGAGTAATTGCTGTCCAGTAATTTTAGGAAATAACATTAAGGGATATAGTACATAGGTAGTTCAGGACATACGTACGTGACTGCCAGGAAGGTGGAAGGCGAACTAGAGGGGCCTTGGGTTTTTTCTTGTCTACCATTTCTTATGTTCTTACGTGTGGTGACTGTGCATGTGTAGGCAGACACCGCATTCAATTTGCAAACGGCAATGTCCCACAAATAGTCATGAAGTGAAGAACTGATGCCATCTCGATCAGGGTGGTCTAAACCTTTGGCAGCTTAGGGCCGGAAGCCCTATTTGAGAAACGTGCCCGGGCCGCATAAGCAATATTTTTGCATTTCCAGAACCATAATATCATTTTTCCTGTTTGTGGAGGGAGCGGGTGGGCCAGGTGAAATGGAGGGGGGGAGTGATGACGGGCCACCAGTTCAGCCACCCTGCTCTAGAGGATTGCTGGTCAGAATATCCTTTCTCCACGGGATCTTTAACGTCCGCCTGAACAGGCGAACAGGACTTCAGTCTAAAGCCTCATCCGAAAGACTACTCTGTAGTCTCATGGTCTCAGACTGGGAGATCATAACAGTGACACTCAGAAGGCTGACATTATCTGAAGGATTCAATTATTTTATAAAATGGAGGCGGGGAATGGGAGGGGTTATATTTTTAGAACCATAGAATATTACAGCACAGAAGGAGGCCATTCGGCCCATGGTGCCAGCTCTTTGGAAGACCTACCCAATCAGTCCCATTCCCCCACTCTTTCCTTATATCCTTGAAAATGATTCCTTTTCAAGTACCTGTCCAATTCCCTTTTGAAAGTTGTTATTGAATCAGTTTCTACCACTCTTTCAGGCCGTGCATTCCAGACCGTAACAACTCTCTGTGTAAAGATATTTCTCCTCATCTCCCCTTTGGTTCTTTTGCCAATTATCTAAAGTCTGTCTCCCCTGGTTACCGATCCACCTGCCGTGGAAACAGTTTCTCCTATCTACTTTATCAAAACCTTTCAGAATATTTGAGACAACGCCAATTATTCCTTACATAACATCCACACAGAGGAAGGCAGCAAATGGCCCTGGGATGGGAAGGACAGTGCAAAAGGTGAGACAGGCAACACTGGTTACACCTGCTTCCTCAGGTGCTGTCAGCAAGGAGACATTCACTAACTAGCTTCAGGGCAGGTCCGTCGGTCCGTCGCTAGAGGGCTACGTGTGTCTGTGGAACTAACTGCAGCCCAACATGAATCAGCAGCCCCTCAGGAGAGGAGAGAGGGGAGGAGAGGTGAGAGGGAAGGAGAGGGGGCAAGTAAAGGGGTAGAAAGTGGCCAAATCCTGCAAAATGAGAAATGCTTTTCCATTTGAGATAATTGGCTGGCAGAGGGCCAGGTACCATGGTGGGTGGTGGACACCCAAATGCTCTCACCCGTGCAGTCAGCTGATGGTCGAGAGCAGAGACCAGAGAAAGGCAAGGTCACTTAAAGGAATCAGTGGGACCCACAACAACAACTTGCATTTATATAGCGCTCCCTCAGGCAGGGTAGCAATCCCAGAGCGCTCGACAGTGACGGAGCACGACGCCGAGCTGGGGGGAGGCAGAAGGTGGGGAGGGGGTATCTTCTGTGACCGTAGGCAAGGTCGACGAGGAAGATAGGAAAGGAAGGGGCAAGGCGGAGGGATAGAGGAAGAGTGTTCCAGAATTTTGCAGCGTAGTGGCTGAAAGTGCGGCCATATTCTCTGTAGCTAACCCAAGCCATTAAATTAGGCTGTTTGTAAAGTGCATTTGACAACATCAAGTTGGGAGGTTATTTATTTTAAGGCACAATTATCCCAACTTGTTTGTCTAACCCTAAACCTCAAATGGTGCGTGATGTCAGGTTAGTGAAATGCACACCCTTCATTGAAATGTTTCACAAACACACCTTTACAGGTTCTGACAAACCTTTCGGAGCAGATCACAAATGTCCCAACAGCAAATCTTATTATAAGAGCAATGGGCGTACACCATGTTGTGTGGAGGCAACAATTTTACTCCGTTTCTATATGGGAGCATTCTTGTATCTTGTTTGTCCCTGATTTCCTCCGCTCCGCCATCGGTGGCCGTGCCATCAGCCACTATGCCACAAAACTCTGGAACTCTCTCCCTCAATCCCTCCGTCTTGCCCCTCCCTCACCACTTTCAAACCCCGACTAAAGACCTTCCTTTTTCCAATCATGCTTGTGGTCACCTCCCCCCCATCTCTCTCCCCATGGCTCGGTGTCGGACTCCCGCCACTGTCAAGCGCTCCAGGACTGTACCCTATATAAAAATCAAGTTGTTGTTCTTGCTGTAAAGATTAAAGAGTGATCATATCTCAGTGCTAATCCAGACAGATCTGCTATTTCTGCCCTCTATATAAATATATAACTGAGTAGCCTTGGTCCTGAAGTTCTCCGATGCCCTCAAACCCTCCTTAACCACACCTCATCGCTTCTACTGAAGGATCTGAGGTCCAGGCTACAAACATTTATCACTCCATGGGATGGGAGCGGTGTGACACCCCTTTTGTTTAGTTATAATAATTATCACATTGATGATGATAATTATCACATTGAATGCCTCCCATGGCACTATATCCCCCGGTTAACATTCCTAGAATTTAGGTGTCAACCGGTTTCCTTGGCAGCACATTCCCCTCTGAGTCAGAAGGTTGTGGGTTCAAGACCATGTCAGGACCCCAAACTCACAGTTTAGGCTGACATTCCAACAGTGAACAGAGGGGGCACTACATTGCTGGAAGTGCCAGCAACAACTTCAACAACAACAACTTGCATTTATATAGCGTCCCTCACACAGGGTAGAGCCTCACAGCGCTTGATGAGCCATCCCTTGGATGAGACATTAAACTGAGGTCTATTCTGCTGTTCATGTGGACGTTATTTGAAACGCATGTGGGTTAGAGCACTCGCCTCCCCGCGAGAGGACCCGGGTTCGATTCCCGGGCGGGGCGAAATGTTGGCAAGTTTCCTTACTCCACACGCCCATGTTTACTCAGCTCTAAGTAGGAACGCGGCTGTTAGTCGATTGGCGGATTACTTTTCCAAGGATAATAATCCCTTCAAAAAAACAAGAATAATAAAGAAATAATAATAACAATTTGGACACTGAATCCACAACTTTTCGTGGGACACGACTGTGCGCAATTGGCTGCTGTGTTTTGCCCACAAAACGTGCAGTCAATTCACTTTACAGTATATCCTGTGAAGCGCTTTGAGACATAAATTTAACAACACTTCTCAGCTTTTGCACTTAAGCCGAGAACTCTATTTGATTCTTATTGTTCTTATCCAACACAAAACATGCAGTCACTCTAGTTTATCCTGTGAAGCATAGGATAACGTGAAAGTCATCCCAATGTAAAATGTTCCAATATCAAATGCAAGGATTATTATTATTATTGTCCACCTGTATCTGCTACTTTTGGACTCAGACCTAAACAGGAAGTGCATCCAGTAACAGCAATCAATAAGTATTAATATTTAGTAAACATAACTTATTAAATATTGCCGATGTGATATGTAAATCAAACTAGTCAGGGGCAGGTTTCCCAGCCATTAAATCTGCGTAATTTACCCTATAAATCATTAATTTAATTGCAAGCGAGACACCTGGGTTCATTTCCAGGCAGGTCAGGGCGAAACCTTGGGCAAGTTTCCTTACTCCACACACCTAATAATAATCCCTCCAAAACCAAAACAATAATAAATTGGTCATTTTCAATCTACGACTGTTTGTGGGACATTGCCGTACGCAATTGGCCGCCGCGTTCGCCCACAAATATACAGTCAATTCACTTTACAGTATATTCTGTGAAGCGCTTTGGGACGTCTTCCCGACGTGAAAAGCGCTATATCAAATGCAAGGATTATTATTATTATTATTATTCTTCGGTATGTCTTTGACACATATTTCACCGATTAAAGATCCGAAATTCTACACATATTTATTCAAAAATCAAACTAGTTTCCAAGAGAGAAAAAAAGTACATGATTTAAAAAAAAAACTGCGCTCTTTCAACAAAGACATTTGACTTTCTTCACTAAACGTTCACTGTCACTGGAGCAGCAACAGATGGGATTATAAAAGGAGCAATCGCAAGTGTCACAGAGGGAAAGTTTAGAGACAAATTACATCCAATAGGTTTAGTTATACTCTACAGTCTGCATCAAAGAGGTATAAATATAAAGCTTATAAAGCAAGGGAACTCCCTGGCACATAATAAAAACAATAATAATCATCCTTATGTTTTTATACAGCCCCTTATCACATCGTTGAGACATCTCAAAGCACTTCACAGAATATACTGTAAAGTGGAGTGACTGTGTATTTTTTAGGCGAAACGCTGCCACAGACAAGGCAAGGTGTCAGTTACCCATAGAATCCACGCCCTTCAGAGAGCAGAGGAGCAGAGCGAGGAGAAAGAGCTTCATCTTCAAAATCGTTGCACTGAACTTCTGTGAATGCTGGACAGGGGTCTCCGACGTGTGAAGACTGTGTTACTGAGCTCCCGATCTCACCGCCGCCAGGAATACTCGCGACTGTTTCAACATTTTTCTGTTCTCTGGGTTTTTTTTAACCTGACCAGCCCTGTGGATGGTTGGAGGAGTGAGCGAGCTCAACCTGTTTTGCAAGAATGTTCCTTTCCAAAGAGCACGATCATTCGGTGGGTGTGGTCCTGAAAGCAACAATTGACGCAGAACAAAAGTCACTCGTACGCAGCAGGGAGAGGGAGAAACGGAACAATTTGGGCAAGGTCAGTTGTTAATGACCCGGTGAAAGGCAACGTTATGTTTAATCCATTTTTCCAATTCTGCCCGAACCATTTTTTAATCAGCGATTCAAAATAAACCAGTCACCTTTCACTGGTTTTCACTTGATTCTGCGAAGAGCTTGGAGATGCCTTAACGACGCGATAAGGTGCTATATCAAATGTAAGGATTATTATTATTCGATACAGCAATTCAAAGCTCTTCACACTGTACAATGATGCAGCCAAATTGCGCACAGCAACATCGCACAAACACAGCCTAACACCTAAGCAGAAATTGGAAGACATGCTACGAAAGATAATCCTTGAGTTTAATAGCGCACTGCTTGCTAGAAAGTACTATGTGGTTTTAGCTGGTTAGACTCCAGCAGTTACCCCAATCACACACTCTGGGGTTCCCCAAGCCTTGGCTATTCCCAGACGAAGCCTACTCTTGGGAATCAGGTAATCAGGATGCATCCCTCGAGGGAGAGAGAATGCACATTCCATTCCAATGCACGAGAATTTTCATATGTAGTGGGATGCAAAGGGCCTATTAACCCCACCCGCGCCCAGCTCCACTGGCTCCCCATCTCCCAGCGGATTGAGTTCAAGATCCTTGTCCTGATCTTTAAATCCCTCCATGGTCACCGATCTCCGATGTAGAGTCCCGTAGCTCAGCAGATAGAGCACTCGCCTCGCAAGCCAGAGGATCTGGGTTTGACTCCCGGGCAGGGTGAAACCTCAGGCAAGTTTCCTTACTCCACACACGCCTCCGTTTAGCGAGCAGTAAGAGCGGAACCCGGTTGATAGTCGATTGGCAGATCGCTTTTCCTGGGGTAATAATCCCTTAAAAAAAACAGTTTGCTGATGGGACACTGCTGTGCGCAATTGGCTTCGCTCACAAAATGTACAGTCACTACACTTTACAGTATATCCTGTGAAGCGCTTTGATATGCCTCGAAGACGTGATAAGGCGCAGTGTCAAATGCAAGGATTATTATTATTATTATTATTATTAGAGATTTTTTCATGTTCTAGGCATTGCATCAAACACAAGGATCATTAAATCACAATCACTGTCAGTACAACCTACAGTCTCTTGGCAGCATGTGCAAGTGTTTGCAAGCTGACTGTGCCGCACGCCGACAAACACCAGGCAGGCAGGGCGTGAAGAGTATTTTCCTACATCAATTCCATTGCTGTAATAAAAAAATAATGAGCAAACTATCTTGGGTTTAACCATACCAGAAATTCTTATAAGAACACAGCTCCAACCCTATGTTCCGTTGTATTATTCGGCCCAACCTCCTGGGAGGGTTGGGCCGGCAGCAGAATTCAACAACTCACCTCAGAGGAATGAAAACATAAACCAGGCTGTGGGTTACATCCCTGTTGGCTTAGAGGAGCGCACGATAATTGAATCGGACACAGCTTCTCTAAACGTTGTTGCCCAAAATACGTAGCCCGTATTTTCTCCCAAACCCATTCTTTTTGATTAAAATCTACAATAAAGTTAATCTTCGGCTTCAAAAATCCTTCATTGCATACGACGTGAAGCAGGAAAAGTCAAGCCCATAAATCACTTTGAACGATCCAGGCAAACAATATTAATAATAATAATCCTTGCATTTGATATAGCGCCTTATATGTCTCGGAGACGTATCAAAGCGCTTCACAGAATAGACTGTAAAGTGTAGTGACTGTATATTTTATGGGTGAAATGCGGCAACCAATTGCGTACAGCAGTGTCCCACAGACAGTCTTCAGGTGAGATCTGAACACAGGCAAGAAGGGGGCAAGGCGGAGGGAATGAGGCAGAGTTCCATAGTTTTGGGGGTAGTCACTGAAATTTCCTTTTACTTGTGTACACCAAAACATCATACGGCTAAATATTAAATAGTTAAATCTACAGTATCTGCTTTGCAAAACAGTGTCAGGTATTTTGTGTCGTTGTGTAGAGTCAGTAAGATGGCCCTCTGATAAAAGAGAGTTCAGATCTCATCTGCTGGCAGGGTTTCCTGTGACTGCACACTGAACAATCAGCTATTCTGCATGACATCAGATTAGGTTACAAACATTACTTAACATCAATGCCTTCCAAAGGTTCAAAATCTATTTGTAGAAGTCGCTGAGATATGAATAAATAAACTTGTGTTGATTCGGGGTGAAAGCCTGAAGTTTGTCTGTGAAAATTACTAGAAAGAAACTGAGAAAATGAGAAAAGATCATTCAGTTAGTTAACGGCCACAGATAATAATAATGATTATTGCATTTGATATAGCACTTACGACCTCTTTGAGATGTCTCAAAGCGCTTCACAGAATATACTGTAAAGTGTAGTGATTGTACATTTTTTGGGGGGTGGAAAGATTAATGCTAAAACTGACCTATCATAAGCTGCTTAGTGATGTGCGGGCAGCTGCCTGTGTGGATTCACAGATCCCAGTTCAGAACAGACAGAACTGTGAGCTCAATTTAATGATGGCTGGAAGGTAATCACTGGATTGCTAGTGTCATGCTTACTGGGGACACGTTTGGGACATAATCACGGTAAAATCTCCAGAAGTTTTGAAGTAAAAGGCTAAAACAGGAGACGTGGACATTTTATAAGATATCCCAACTGTGACGGCGCCCGGCCTGGCAATCAAAACACCGGATTTCCAAACAAAGAAAAAAAAACACGTTGTGACGTGAATCGAGTGCTAACCTGTCAGACTAGTTCACAAGGTTAGGAGCACCACATGAACGTCACTTCATCATAAAGGTTTCTATTCTGGGTACTGCCAACCTCATCTGACTTCACTTTGTGCGTTGATCATAATAATAATCCTTGCATTCGACAGAGCCTTACCACGTCTTCGAGACGTCTCAATGTGCTTCACAGAACATACTGTAGTGACTTGATCGTATATTGTGGGTGAACCGCGGCAGTCAATTGCACACAGTGGTGTCCCACAAACAGTCGTGGATTGAGTGACCAAATTATTATTTGTCTTTTTAAGGGAAGAGTACTCTTGGAAAAGTGATCCACCAATGGACTAATAACCGGGTTCCTACTTACTCCTAGGTCAACAGAGGCGTGTTAGATAAAAAAAACTTGCCCAACGTTCTGTCCCACCCAGAAAACAAAACAATTGAGTGCATACATCAGTTATCAGTTCATGTATATGAATTGTGAGCTCACACGCTCACATGGATCTTGTAGGATGGGCACATGCCAAAGATATGAGATGTGTTGAGTCACCTGAGGTTTTTCCCTATCTCCAATATTGTCTCCTCTTCTCTGTAGGGTTAAATGGTGCGGCTGGAATGAGCTGTTGCCTTTCAGGACCTCACCCATGTGCCAGGATGGGGTGGGGGGGGCAAGGGGCTGTCTTTCCTTTCCCGCAATCCACAACCATTGTATCATTCATGCCTGTAATCGTCTTATGCTGTGCAATTTACCCTGTTTCCCACACGGCAATGACTTTATCCCTGAGCCATTTCATCGTTGCCGGTCAATGGGGAGGGGGAGAGGACGAGAAAGGGTGAGTAGATGAGAAAATGCCAGAGCTTTGTCTCATATCTGCTTTGCAGTCGTACGTGTGTCAGAGAGCAGAGGCACTTTGCCGCTAAGTGCTACATAACAGGTGGTTCTCCGTTGTAGCAGCGAAACTAGCAAACAGGGGGTGGCAAAACATCAAACTATTAAACACGTTTATACTTCCATTTTATAGATCAAAGTGTTTTACAGAAATTGTCAAGCTCAGTGATTTCTTGGCAGATAAGCGTGACCACCATTTTGAACTACTGAATGCTACAAACATGGCAACGTATTGATCATAGCTCCTAATGCTAACGTTTCTGTAAAATATTGGTTTTACACCTAAGATGGCAGAGTAATGACAACTTGCAATTACATAGCACAAACCACACAGGACCTTGCCTTGAAACACACAGACCGATTAGTTGATCCTTCCGCTCTCCTCAAGATGGTGACCTATAGTTCCACGTGCGCCTTGAACCATTGATTGACACCACAGGGAAGTGGAGAACAGAAGGCCAACAACCTGAGATCAAACTGATACTCAAATATTTTTGATTGAGACGGATTTGATTCCCGGCAGGATGAAACGTTGGGCAAGTTTCCTTACTCCACATGCATCTGTTTACCTAGCAGTAAGTAGGAACCCGGTTGTTAGTCGATTGGCGGATCGCTTTTCCGGGGATAATAATCACTTAAAAAAAATACTAATAATTTGGTCACTCAATCCATGACTGTTTGTGGGACACTGCTGTGTGCTGCCGCTTTTCGCCCACAAAATATAGTCAATTCACTTTACAGTATATTCCGTGAAGAGCTTTGAGACGTCTCGAAGACTTGATAAGGCGCTATATCAAATGCAAGGATTATTATTATTATTATCATCCATCAATCAAATCCCATTCTGTTAGAACGGTTCGTAAAGACAGTTAACTGACACAGGCTGGAGGACTGTGGTAGCAGTGGTTTAAAGTGATTATTTCTGACGTTCCAATTTATAGATTTCAGGGTTACACTGTCTAGTCTGGGAATACATTGAAACGCCAGCTGTTTCTGTGCTGGGAAGTGCCAAAAACAGAAGGATTTATTAAGTGTGCTCGAAGCATTTTTCTGTGGTGGGTGGCCTGGATTGGGGGAAAGGGGAAAAAAAGACCATCTTTAACTCTCTTCTGACTTAACCAATGCCCCAACTGGATTTATTCAATGCTCAGGATAATTTGGGGTATCCTGCAAATGCAGAGCCCATCGTGTGGAAACTGATCAACTGGTAAAAGAAACAAAAATGATCCATTAATGCTCACCTGATCACATATCACTCGAAGTACAAGTCCCAGAAATAAGATAAGTACACCCTTAAAAACTGTTTAAACGTGTGATTCCTTCTCATACTCAGGGGAAGAGGGAGATAAGGGAAAACCGACAGGAATTCACACACTAAGCGGAGGGGAAGAGAAGCAAAAGGAGGTGCAGGAGAGAAGGTATGTCTGATCACTTGAGTGTGAAGCTGGAAAGCCTTAGGATGTGAATGTGCCAGGAGGCTGCTGAATGGTAATCTCTACAGGCTTGGCTGCCATTAATGTAACCGGCATTGTGCAAGCATTTGGTTGCTGGGTGTAACAAAGAGGCTGTCAGTCGTTAAAACACAAACTCCCTCAATTCTTTTGAGACACTGAAACAACTGGGACACATCATCCTGTAATTACAATTTCACCATCAGCCTTTGAACCAATATTTTGTCGCCCTAATTGTTCTCTGCAGACAGACAGGTTGGTCCAACCCAGAAACGACACTTCACACCTTTCACGTAAGAAAATATATCAGAACATTTCATGGAGACAAGAGTGGGAGCCTCAGATTTGGGATGGTAGGGGTAGAAGGGAGGGGTGTGTAGGATGGCGGTGACTGAGGGTATCTTTTTAGGAAGGTTTTGAAAACAAAGTTTGCAAAGGAGAGATGTTGGGAACGCTCTTACATCAAATATGCAAATATCTCAAAGCACTTCAAGGGAATTGCTGGCAAAGGTAGTCACTGCATTTGCAGGCAAACGTGTCAGTCATTTTAGGAACCGTAGTCCCACAAACGGCCGTGAAATGCATGACTAATTTACCTAGACAATTGTTGGCCATGAAACAGGGAGAAATTCCCTTCTCTACGTACTTTGACTATCACCAAAAAGTAAACGGTGGTGTTGAAGGTAAATAGGATGGTCTTGACACGGTAAAGTGGAGTTTCCAGCACTGCATCCTCGTTGACTGCGTTTTCAGCCATCTTTTCCCCCCTCCCGGTCTCCCACCCCACCCCAGCTCGGGTGCAAACCACAAACTGTCCAGCGCTTTGGGACATCAATCTTCCCAATGTGAAAGGCACTACAGAAATGTAAATTTATATTGTAATTTGTATAGTATTGCAATCAGATTGGTGAATCTCACTCACCACCACTTTATTTCAGCTCCCATCAGGTTTGCTGTAATAGCTGAGGGACCCCCCCCTCCGGGGCTATCACCAACCAGCACTTTGTTCTGAGTTCCACCAGACACTTAAGACAATCAGAACATCCTAATCCCAATCCATGAGCCCAAACACCCTGGAGAATAAGAGAAAATCCCACATCTCTGTTAAATAGGCCCTTCCTTCCTTACACATAAAAATGTCAGATTCTTATCTGCATTTCATTCACCTTTAGTCATAGCCCAGCGATCTCCTGACGCCCTCACATACTTTTCTGATAAGGCAGGTATTCATCACTGCATATGGCGATGTATCAGCCACGATCTTATAGAATGGCAGAACAGGCTTGAAGGGCTGAGTGGCCTCCTCCTGTTTCTATGTTTCGGTTTCTGACGGTGGCTGAGAGGATGGGAACTCCCATCGTCTGTGGTTTATTAGGAAGATTTTGTTTTACTGGCCACGGGTTAACACTGAGCCTGTTCTCTACATTGAGTGAGCCGCCTGCTGGTGATTTTGGCAGCTGACAGGATGTTAACCGACATCTCAATGCAGGGTAAACCCCCGCACTTTATAAATTTCATTTGAAATATTCCACAAACATTCCACTAGGTTAAGCCCCATGCGGAGAAAACCTCACCTTGTCTAATTCGTAACTAATAAATGAACATTTACGTTAAAAAAAATTATTTGGTCACTTCAATCCACGGCTGTTTGTGGGGACGCTGTCTGTGCGCAATTGGCTGCCCACAAAATATACAGCCATTCACTTTACAGTATATTCCGTGAAGCGCTTTGAGACGTCTTAAAGGCGTGACAAGGAGCTGTATCAAATGCAAGGATTGTTATTTTGCAGGTATGTCATTTTATAAATATTAATTATAAAACATTTGGATACATCACAGGTGCTTCTTTCTTATAACTTATTTGTTTCTTCTGGTGAATTCGAACGTGTGAGAAATATTGGCCAGGACACAGAGAATGTCTTAACTCTTATTCATTGCCATGGAATCATTAACATCCACCTACACTGTTATTAGAGGCAAATGGGACCATTTCATATCATATTATCCAAAGGAAAACAGCTATGCTGTGCTTTGCTGCTCACCTTTCATCATTTAACAGCCTGAGATCTTGCACTGAATGCTCAACATGGCATCTATAACACTTCAGAGTTCAGATCTCTGCAGAATCTCTACTTACTTTAGGTTGGGAAGAACTGTAATTGATAATCACACTCAACTGGAGGCTGCGACATGTCTTCAGTTGGACAAACTGACCACAACTCAAGGAAAGCAAAGCTAAGGCAGAATTTAATTTTTACAAAACCCTCGAAGAAATAAAGAGAGAGAAAATAAAAAGGTCAGCAAGCACCGTCAAATTCTACATCAGCAATACATTTCACAGTGTAGCCGAAAGAGGACATAGACATGATCTTGCCTAGAAATATGAAAGCCTTTGACTATGTAACATCGAACATGTCACGTGTGTTTTGCCAGCAAAGCCAGCTTAAGATCGAGCCTGGAAGTGCCACCAGGACACCAGGATTCCCACCACTGCACAATGTGAGTGATTCACTACATTCTTGTCATCTCTGTCTTAACCTGGAAAAGGCTGCTACGTTTGAAGTGTTCACAGAGAGCAGAAGGTAAAAGAGCAAAGAAAATGGGTAGATGGATCTAAGCTGAAATTTCCAATCATTATGTATGACACTTGAATACAAACTGAAACAAAAATGAAAGAGCGCTACGCATAAAACAGGCTAGAGCTCCACCGCACCACAATTTTATTTCAGGACCAATCACTTGTTAAAGAGGGAAGCAACTCCTCAGGGAATTCTAGTACTGTTCTCCCACTTCAACATTTGTTTTCTACTAAAAACATTGAAATAATCAGACCTTTTATGTGTGGTTTGATGGGAAAGATGAGAAGAAAAAAAAAAGCAAGTATTTCTTCCCCAATAAAACATGTTGGAAAGTGCATAGACATCTGGTGAGGACAGGACTGGCTTAGCTACCAAACCCCCATCCCCCACCACCTCCCCTCCAAGTCTTGAATAGCCCTGGATATGAATGGTCTAAACTCATAGTTAGAAAATAGCCCTTTGACCAGGATACAAAAGAAAACCCAGCACAAGTCAGCATCTTCAGGAAAGAAGGGGAGAAAACACTGGAGGGAATGTTTTGTTTAAAAGTAAGGCTAGAAAATGCTAGATGCACACAGCGGGAACATCAACCTATAAAAGAGAGCGGAGATTAACATGGCGAGTGGGGTCACTTTCTCCTACAGAAGCCGGGTAGTGACATGCTGGCTGCTTCATTTTTTTAATATACTTCTTCACATTAAAAATGGGCTCAACTGGACTGAAGCAATGAATCAGACTTGCTAAAGGATCCTTGATACCCACAACCATAACGAACATGGATCCAATACCAATTTGATTGCCAAAAGAAGTAAAACAATCCTGGACGTGAAGCTGCTTCATCACCACTTCAAAGAAAGAGAAATGATCTGCCCGGTTTGAAAAAAAACGTGTTCAGGATAATTAGTGTGGATTCAAGGTAAGAGAGAAAGAGGACAGAGTAGAAGCCAATGTGCTGTGCCACTGACTTTTATCTTTCCAGCCAAAGAAACCAAAGTAAAAGTGTTTGATTAAACAGGAAAAGAAAAAGAGAGAAGAAAAAACCTGACAGACATCTAATGATAAAAGTGCAAAATCCAACAGGAGCCAATGATTGAGAGGCTCTCTCCCTCTCTCAAATCTGACTCACGAGAGAGAGAGAGAGAGAGGAAAGGTTTAGATCGAAAGCCCCGGATGTTGATGTAGTTATTGTCGAAGACAGTCCTCTGTAACACCTTGAGCAGCCAGCTCTGCAATGACATTGTCCAGGTAGTTGGGGTCAGGGTAGCCGTGCCCCGAGACGTTGGACCCCATCTCAGTTTTATGGTGAATCTCGTTCCAAACCACAGTGTCTGCCTCGCCTGTTGTGTTTGACGTACCCACGGTAAATATCAGTCGCCTGTTCCAAGCGACCTTCAGAAGCTCCAGGACCTGAAAAAAAAGCCAGAATTCATCCCTCCAGTCAGCGAGTTTCCAAGATAAATCCAATTGACACGGCAACAAATCTGATCCCTGGTGTTAAGAGGAATGAATGAATGAAGTTAACTGCTGTACGCAATTGGCTGCCGTGTTTCGTTTGCAAATATATAGTCGATTCACTTTACAGTATATTCTGTGAAGCACTTTGAAACATCTTGAAGACGTGATAAGACGCTATATCAGATGTAAGGATTATTATTATTATATCGTGGAGTCCTGTAGCTCAGTAGTTAGAGTACTCGCTTTGCAAGTGAGAGACCTGAGTTCAATTCCAGGCAGAGGGCGAAACCTCGGGCAAGTTTCCTTCCTCCACACAGAGCCTAATAATAATCCTCCAAAACCAAAAACAATAATAAATTGGTCATTTTCAATCTACAACTGTTTGTGGCACATTGCTGTGCGCAATTGGCTGCCGCGTTCGCCCACAAATATACAGTCAATTCACTTTACAGTGTGTTCTGTGAAGCGCTTTGGGACGTCCTCCTGACGTGAAAAGCGCTATATCAAATGCAAGGATTATTATTATTATCATTTTAACGGCGATTCCATGCAACAGATTAAGATGCAACAAACCACCCTTTAAAAATCTATTTTACAAGCATGTGGTGGTTTGATTTTTGCCCTCCATTACCTTTCTGCCTTTATCATTGTGTGGCAAGTAGCAGTGCCGAGGGAAGCCACGAGCAGTGAACGGTCTGCCTGGATTTGGATGCTCTGGACCCTGTTGACAACAAAGGAAGATCGAGTTGTGAATGAAACGAATGAGACTCTCCATCACAAAATACAGCCAATTCACTTTACAGTAAAATCTGTGAAGTGCTTTGAGACGTCTAGAGCACGTGATAAGGTGCTTTATCAAATGCAAGGATTGTTAATATTATTATTATCATTATCTGAACACAATGGATTGCAGCTCAGACGATTACCTGGATTCCAGGAAGAATATAATATGCAATGTGTATAGCTGCACAGTCTGGGTGTCCCGGCAGAGACTGAGGCAACAAGTAAAGATCCATTTTGCCTTTTGGCTGTGTACCAGTCTTTTCACCATAGATCATTTTACAGGAGGGACACTGTAAACTGCCGTCCTACAGAAAGAACAATTCAAACAATTCAGCACAGATTTCACCATCAGTCGGGATAATGTTACTGTAACAATTACATTCTCTGCCTCAAATTATTTTCTTCATGGACTTTCCGCCCTCCCACCACCAACTCTCTTGAACTCCGTCTATCAAATAATCTGTTAAATTGAGGTCCCACCTGTCTGCTCAGAGGGCCATTAAAGATCCCATGACAATAATCAAAGAGAAGGGAGTGTCTCCTGGTGTTCTGGCCAACAATCCTCCAGACAGAGTGCCACACAAGCATGTTATTTACACATGGAAATTGTATTTTGCCTGGAGAAAGGCACCTTCCAATTGATCATTCATTTCACAGCTGTTTGCAGGACCTTCTGTAATCACCCGCTGTATTTACTTGCATCGGTCATCTTCCCACCCACAAATCCACCCCTCTCGAATCCATCCCCCAACGCTGGTGCAAACCCTCAACTGTCCAGCACCCTGGGACGTCCTCCTGACATGAAAGGGACTATGTGTAGATTCATTGTTTAAAATGCAGCGTTTAAAACTAAACTCATTACATGGACCAAATCTGTCGGGTGTTTTTTGGCCAGCCACATTTGGAAACCAATCATCGTGCTTAAGACTATTCAAACCAGACAAGAGTCCTACACATGCACGTTATTTACACATGGAAATTGCCCTTTGCTTGCAGAGATGCAGCCTGTATACTTAATTCCAGAAAATATTAGGTGCAGATTGGTAAGACCCGAGGCTGGGGGACCCCACAGTGTCTATAAGGAGGCTGCTGGGGTTTCAGCTAAAGGGTGGAATCAGCTAAAACCTTGCAGCTTGCCATTGAGAAAATAGTCTGGATCTGGGACGTGTGCTTAGCTTTCACAGTATTTGTTTCCTGGGCTTTTCCACCATTATAAGGAAGTTCGACTGTGTGTGTGTGTAGACATATATATACACACACACTACATATCCACCCACAAAATATAGTCAATCCACTTTACGTTATAATCTGCAAAGCACTTTGAGACGTCTCAGCGACCTGATAACACTATATCAAATGCAAGGATTATTATATTATTTTATGACTATATTAAAAATAAAGAGTGGAATTTTTCTGCACCTTGGTCCCATTTTCATACATGGCCATCATACACAGCAGGTGAAATATGTGGCCACATTTTGTGAACTTCCCCACGCTATCAGGCTGGATGGTTTTACTGTGGGACACTCCATCATAACCAGATAGGTCACTCAGCTTCTCCATGCAGATTATACAGTCCTGAAACAAAAAATGGGGGAGAAAAAGCAAAGGTTTAATGATCTATTTTCAATAATTAGGATTCAAACAAAAGCTTGCTCTGTAATAATCCTTGCATTTGATATAGCGCTTTACCACGTGCTCGCAGAAGCGCTTCACAGAATATTCTGTGGAGTTAATTGACTACACTTTATGAGCGAAAGAGCAGTCAATTGCGCACAGCAGCGTCCCAAACAGTCGTGGATTGAGTGACCAAATTATTACTTTTTTTGGATGGGATTATTACCCTTGGAAAAGCGATCCTCCAATCGACTAACAATTGGAATTCCTACGTACTGCTAGGTAAACAGAGAAGTGTGGAGTAAGGAAACTTGCCCAACATTTCGCTCCGTCTGGGAAGTGCAAATGCTAATGCATAGTTCAGCAAGAGGAAAGACCTTCCTTACTTTTTTTTCACACAAAAGAGAGGGGCAGAATAAACATTTTTTCCACCTTGGCCCTAGTTTCCTTGTCACACTTATGCAGAAACCAGCTACATTTGTGGCCTCACCTCATCTGTACGTTGTTCCAATTTCACCATGTACTTTTTCACCACCTCCTCTGGGCCTTTCACCAATTCTGCATTGGGAGGAAGAAACAAAAGGAGACAATCAAGCAAAGCCAGGACTGAAAATTGCCATTGACTGCTAACAATCTAAACACACTCCTTCTCAGGTGTAAAATGATTTTGTTTGGACACTATGCTTTTTAAGCCCAACCTGAAAACCTGACCCTTGCCAAATACAGTTCCCTTTGGTGACTAATAATCCTTGCATTTGATATACCCTTTATTAGGTTATTGAAAAGTCCCAAGTGCTTCAGGTTTGTGGGACACTGCTGTGAGCAATTGGCTGCCAGGTAATTCATATGCACAGGTTTGTTTGTCTGGAAGAGGGCATGGAAATCGTTGATATTCCTGACGCTCAATGCATCCGCAGAGACAGATGAGCATAATGAGTAATCCAATAGTTCATTGCCAGCAAATCGTCATTTTGTATGCAAAAGGATTTGAGACACAGCAGGTTTGTCTGTTAGCCGAGCCACACAGATTGGAAAGGTCCAAGATTTGATCCACCAGAGAACAGCTGGCAAGCGTGGACTTGTAACTCAAGTAGAAAGGGAGTCGAGTGTTTTCAAGAGAGGCGAGGAAGGGAATATTGACAGAGAAAGGTATGAAAAAAAGGAACATCACAAAACGGAAGAGTTCTTAACTCTCCCTAAATTAAAATGAAATTGGTGCTCACCGACTCACAGGTTACTTACCTGCACAAAATATCCAAACAAAATACATTCTAGGCATAGTGTTGACCATTATGGTTCTGGCACCTGAGCCGGATCATGAAAAAGCCTTGTGGCTCTAAGTCCATGATCTGCCTTTGGCCCCAAAACTACACGTCCATCAGTAAGATCAGGAACATTCAGAACAACTTTAAAAACTCAAAACGTTCGAGAAGCCAAGAAATAAAAAACCGTACATTGAAATCTCAAGAGCTCACAGTACAGTACAATAACCAAACAGACCTTTGACTCACTGGGAACACGAAACACATTCGTACTGCTGAATAAAGAGGAAATGTCTTTTTTAACTACCTTTTCTGGACACTTTCTTCGATCTCCTAAATGATTTATCTTTGGCAGGGCTGGGTTTTTTATCACTTTTTCTTGAGTCGGGATTGGACACGGGTTTAGCTGCGCGGGTGAAACACGCAGGAAGTCCAGCGGCACACATCAGAATTGCAGCCATGCCTACAAGGTCAGTGATCAGCATGCATGGGGAGAGGGGGGGAGGGGGAGGGGAGGGATGAGGGAGAAGGGGAAGACGGTAAAAAGACAAACATAAAAACACACGTAAAGTAAATTTAAAAACAAAAAAGAAACCAAAGAGAAAATCTAAAGGAATGAAAAGGTCAACAGAAGTAAACAAAATGCAAATCACCCAACAACAAAAGGTTTGAAAAGATCAAAAGTGTCAGTCCAAATCGTGCAAATCAAGTCATCACAGACCCCCATCACTTCACCAGTGATCTGAAAGAGATGAGTAAACAGCAGCCCAAAGAACATGTGTTAAGGCCAGTGAAGCCTCGATGCAAATAAAATAGTGCAAACAACAGCATTTCCATACACTGATTGTGAGCTCTAATACACTGGGACCTCCTGCCTCTATCCCAATACGATAGCAACCCATTCAGCTAAGTGAAGAACCCAAATAACTAGTTGTGTGCATAACATAACTTCAGTATTGTAAGCTTTGTAAAGTAAGGAGCTTGCACTGAAGTCTATGGAAAAACAACACCAAAGGCTAACAGCTCGGATAATCAGGGACTTCAGATAAACAGGATCGCAATGTTGTTTATCACTTCAGTTTATCACTTGGTCTACAATAAAACTCATTCACTAAAATGTATTATTTTCAGAGTTCCTTGTGCTGTCTAGGGCTGCACCACAGTCTTCTCTCCTATCTCCCCAACATACCCCAACAATGGAAACTCAGGAAAATAGGATATTTATCATTAATTTCCTTGGGAGATGTGTAGGATTCTTCACGTGCCCAATTGTTCTCCCACCCACTGTACTGATGTCTCTCCCCCTTTACAGACACCTTGTGAGACAGCAGTGCCTCTTTATTTATTAGTCTTCGGGCAAGGGAGAAGCGATACTGGGAGTTAAATGCAGGTGAGAGGACTCAACTACAGGAGAAACAGTGCTTCATACAAAAACATTTGATCAGTGGATGCACTTTCTCTGGTTAACCTTGGAACGGGACAGCACTTTTGAACTGTAAATTAATTTTCATTTGTGGCAGTCATTGGGATTCTGCTTAATGTTCTTGCAGCCAAGAATAGGACTAGCCAAGGCATTCCATGTCCAAACTTCTGTGTTTATCTCACACCATATTTTCAGTACTTTGTTGTCCTTCTGTGAGAGAAGCTGGCAATGGGATGATATGGGATGCAGGTGGCACCTTCCTCTCATGTCCCTCTTACCCTTAGGCCTGAGACAACATCCCCAAAATGGAACAACAGTTCATCGGAGAGGTTGAGAGCACTCACCTCTGCTCCCCAGAACAGCTTGGCAACATAAGGTCAAAAAAACCAAATCTGCCAACGCTGTGGCTCCATTGGATTGGTATTCCAACACCAACCTGTCTAAGTGTGGTTAAACTCACGGTCTCAGGGCTGCACAAACGGAAAGGAATACAAAGCACCTGCCTGCATCTACATTCCCAAAAGAGCGGCCCAAGGTGCCTGCATGCAGCATACAGCATATGAAGTGAAAATCGAGTCCTGGTAGATGCATGCTCAGCTCCCTGCCTCAGGGAAATCACTACCAAGCTTTCGCAAATGTGCACGAAAGGCAAGAGGTAAAAGCCAGTGTTTAAGCATGGATCCAATTACAGTAAGCCTATCTGAAAGAGTAAAGGGAATAAACCGTCCTTTTCTTCTACTATATATCCCTCCTCTAGTGCAAAAATTACAAGTAGATTTTTTTGATAACTGTACGTTATCGGGAGGAACGAAGTCCATGTGTGAACAGACAGGTGGTGAAATCATAAAGGGCTTTAACAAGGAACTCAGCAAGTTCATAGAAATGAAAAAGAAATCAGGGTCATTCTGCTCCATCCGCTCAGCAAGCTCCGGCCTGCTGCACATCCCCCACCTTTTGGAATTCCATCCCACAGTCGCTTTGTCTTGCTCCCCTCCCTTTCCTCCCTTAAGGCACATCTCAAGACCCTGCCTTTCTCCTTGGTTATGAGGAGGTTTGAAGACATCTACCACACCCATGTCTTGCCCTCCTCTCCTGGAAGTAATAACCTGATGGGATTGTAGTGCCAAGGAGTATAGTACTCAAGGGGAAATTCTACAGGTGAGCCAACCATGGAGTGTGATCCTATCCTAATCCAACATCTTGGTCAACCTCAGTGTAGCAACCCCCCACCACCCCAGCTCAGATCATCTAATTCATCATTAAACAGGAGAATTCTAAAGCATCCTTGGTATATATGACCCGGAACCAGACTGAAGCAGTGTCCTATTGAGAAAGGTCATGAATCACTTTCATTCTGCTAAACACAGTTCTCAAGTTGTAGATGAGCAGTGCTCTCTAACCCAACAAATCTTCCATTCCACTAACTTGCAGGAGACTTTTAACCTTCTGCTTCAGTAACAAGGTTGCTCCTGGAATCCTTTTGTATTTCAAGACAATTCTAATATAGGGGTTTGGATCTCATTTTATTGAGAACCTGTATATCAAAGTATATGGCAGTTACCTGTATACTCATGTAAGCAGTGGATACTTGCATGCTAATGTATGCAGCAGTTACCAGTATATACTTATATAGAAATGTTCGCAACAGTTGCCTGTAAATACAGATATATTAATGCACATACTGCCTCCTAATGTACACAGCTGTTATCTGTAAACTAATGTGTGAGAGCTCCCTGTGTACTAGTGTAAGTATATACTAATTTACATTGCAATAACTTGTATATCACCGTTACCTGCGAATGCTGGTATTACATGGCTTGGACCGTTCAGCTGGATGGGCACCGTTGGGATGCTGCAGAGAGGAAGAAAGAGGAGTAGATGTCACAATGATTGAACAGGATACAGAATTCCTGCAAACAAGCACTCAAGGAAGAAATGCTGTTAAAATAGACAATTTAAAATCACAGCATGCAAGAAAACAAAACACCAGTTAATTGCAAAGAGATTTTCCATCATGACATCAATCATGACATAACCACATTTAACGCAGTCCAAAGTTACTAGTGAATGCGCACTATTCAGTAAGACTCCAAGATAGATGTAACCGTCCACAGAAGCTCCCAACATGACTGCAGCAGGATCCTGGAAGCTCAGACACCTTGGAAGTACCGGTCTACGCTATACAGTATACACATATTTAGAGTTTGAGCCCCACATCGGAACTCGGAATCACATACACAGCTGACAACGTTAAACTGCGAGATCCCATGGCACTATTCAAGAAGAGAGTTTCTCTCTCTCGGTGTCCTGGACAACAATTCCCCAAATAAAATTGGTCACTCACTTCACGGTTGCTTGTGAGACCCTGCTGGGTGCAAACTGACAGCCCCATTTCGCGCACAAAATTCAGTCAATTCACTTACAGTATAATAATAATCCTTGCATTTGATATAGCGCCTTTCACATCTTCTCGATGTCTCAAAGCGCTTCACAGAATATGTTGTAAAGTGAATTGACTGTATATTTGTGGGCGAAACGCGGCAGCCAATTGCACACAGCAGCGTCCCCACAAACAGCCGTGGATTGAAGATGACCAATTTATTATTGTTTTATTTTGGGAGGGATTATGATTAGGAGTGTGGAGTAAGGAAACTTGCCCAAGGTTTCGTCCTGCCTGGAATTGAACCCAGGTGTCTCGCTTGCAAGGCAAGTGCTCTAACCACTGAGCTACAGGACTCCACATATATCCTGTGAAGCTCTTTGAGACTTCTCCACGACGTGATAAGACCTATATTGAATACAAGCATTGTTGTTATTATTATTACCTACGTACAGTACATGCATTTAGTCCACTGGGATCTTGCAGGAAATGGTGTTGATGTTTTTATCCACGAGATGGCAGCATATGGCTCACATCGTCTGACTAAGGTGAGCGATTGGCTGATCATTTCAAGTGGTCAATGTTTAAATAGAAGGGTCGATTTCAGGCGATCAGAATGATGGTTTCCCCAGTGACGGGAGAGAGAAACTGAGTCCATCCCAGACCTTCCGGACGGACGCTTGCAGGCAGGAAGCACCAACAGGGGGGNAAAAAAATCAGACAAAAGGCCAGATCCCAAGATAGAAACTGAATGAGACGGAGGAAGAGGAGTCGTTATTTTAAATGACAAAGAGGAGAAGTTCCATCTGGTTCTAGCATTGACTATTTTCTTAACATTTCAGAGCAATCAGAATTTGGGGAAATTTTTTGAATGGTTTTAATTCCAGCTGGAGGAAGAGCTCAGTTTGTAGGACTCAGAATTTCTCATTAAGGAACCCACATGAATAAATACCACACATTGCACCCTAGGGTCTCAACACAACTGCCTTTGCAAAGCCGCTGCTACTCGACAAGAAAAGTGAAATAGATTTCGCTCACAAAACATTCGGCTCATCTCACATTCTTTTGTCTACTTCTTAGCAATAATCGCGACAATATTCAGCAACAGAAGGGAAAGAATGTTTTGCCCAGAATTACTTTAATAGCAGGATACGAGCCATTAACAATAGACTAAAATGACCTTGTGTGGTACAATGTGTGCAGATAGATTATCTGGTAAGCAAAAAGATGCATTATTAGTATAATGGGCCAAACAAATACAACTCTGCCAGTAAACGCATGCAATTAGGGTCGTTCCAAATGTTTCTGATACAGGGAGCAGCAGCACAGCACAAAGGATGTGTTTGTTCTTGCCCAAGTAGACTTTGGCCACAATGTTTTTAGTAGTGTAATTTAGACCCCAATCAAGTAAAAAAAATTAATGTTTTAATTTAACAAACCAGGCTCACAGACACTCCCATCAGAGGTGACCGTGGCCATCGATTAGGACGCATTTCAGAAGCTTTTAAATAAATTGGTTGTGGAATGGAATTTTTGATCTGTCGTGAGAAATAAATTGTTTAATTTTATAAATTATCAATCCCATTGTGGCTCCAGAAAACCTGTTACTTTGAAGTGTAGTGATTGATAATAATAATAATCCTTGCATTTGATATAGAGCCTTACCACGTCTTCGAAATGCCTCAATGCGCTTCGCAGAACATACTGTAAAGTGATTTTGTGGAAGAAATGCGGTAGCCAATCGCACACAGCAGCGCCCCACACACAATCGGGGATTGAGTGACTGGGGTCTAGGATTCCCCGATCGTCCTGGAAATCAGAACTCTGTGTGACACAAGGTGTTGCACTGACCAGAGTATTACATAACTTGTAGATGAATTCTGAAACCTGAACTCCACTGATTTGGCAATGGAGCCCAGCATTCTGTTTGTCTTGTTTACTGCTGCCTCATACCGTTTTGACATTTGAGTGATGAGTCAACGAACAACCCTTGATCTCTTTCAGCTTCCCCTTGGCAAATTCTATCCCATCCATACAGTATGTGTTTCCTATGCTTACTTTCATAGGGTAAAGGCTCACTAGAGAGGCGGTTGAAGCAGGAAGAGTTGATTCTTTCAAACAGATTAGATAGTTTCCTTTTAGGAAATAACATTATGGGATATACTACATAGGTAGTTTGGGATGTATGTGCATGCAACTGCCAGGAAGGTGGAAGGCAAATTAGAGGGTCTTTTTTTCATCTTGCATTTCTTATGTACTTTCTGTATGCAATACCTTGCATTTACTTGTATTGAACATTATTTGCCAATTATCAGTCCATGTGCATACCTTATCAAGTCCTTTGTAAGAACTTTGAGCTCCGCCAAGGTTAAGTGCTCTGGGATCCTACCCTGCACGAGGGGCGCTATATAAATGCAAGTTGTTGTTGTTGCAGTAAGATCTTTGCTGCTTCCCGATTCCACTGTTCCCTCCAACTTGATGTCATCTGCAAATTTAATTACTTACACTAGAAAAACACCTAGTGGAACATTACGCCCAACTGTAAATGAACAGGATGCTCATCTCTCTATTTAAGGGACATTGCAGGTACAGGTTAGCTGCCACATTTGCCTACATCAAATTCACTTGGTTTCTCATCAACAAGTGCTTCAAGAAGTTATTTTTTACATGAGAGGTGCAAAATAAATGCAAACTTATTTAACATGAAAGGCGCGATGTAGATGCAAGCTGCTGAAGTTATTAGCTGTGAAAATATTATTTGAGGCAACCTTCAGTGCTTTTAATATCCTACAGGAAAAACAAAAACACCTTCTTATCCTCAAACCTTCTCTGAAACACATGGATAGAGAACATGTTGTGACGAAAAGCTGCCAGTTTGGCACGAGTTTACTAGAACAAATAAAATCAGCATTTCAAAAATATTCAAAGCAGAAAATGTGGGTGAGTCACCAAGAGCTGCCAGCAGCTGTGGAAGCAATTCCCAGTAAAAGACAGCCAGCTCCTTGTAAAAAGGGGGATGGGAGAAAGCAAAGAGAGATCTGGTGGTGTATTCTACACTGGAAATTCCAACCAACGACTTAACAGACTTTGTGCAGCCATAATACATTCAGTGGTCAGTGAGGCAGGTGAATTGAGAACAACAAGGAGCCTGTGGGGTACCTCTCCACCCACCCACATGGTCTGCAAACAATACAAAAAGACTGTCCTCTCTCTTGCTTCTAAACTCGCTTCATTCCAAAACTTTCTTCCATCCCCATCCTCTTCCCACGCTGCTCATAATAGTGCTCGCATTGTCTGGACGAACAGCTGCTTGCTATGCCTCTCAGTCTGCTTTCCTGACAATGCAAAGAGATTCCAAAATCCACGGTGGCTTTCAGCCAAGGACCAGCGTGTGCGAGGGCACTGGTCACTCACGGCAGAACATAGTGATCTTTAGGCAATTTCAATAACTTTACAAGATGCCGAACTGTAGGGCACGGATTCAGTAAGCTCTATTTAAATGCCGCCAGAACAAATTGACAGTAATTAGTTCCAATTGCGGCAAAGAAGATTTTTGTGGATTTTCACAGGGAATTATTTTACATAGCTTCTTGCTTTTTCCATTAATTTTAATGAACTTTCAAGTTTCCGACACGCATTTTAAAGTTCCACCTCCCTATAGCCTGTAGAATAAACCTGTGATTTATATAAAAATGTGCCAATCTGAAAATGTGCACACTTCTTTTGAAACACTGCCAAAGGACAATCAACATCTAAAGGGTTAACCTGTGGCTTTATTACCTGTAATGTTCACAGTAAAGGTCTTGACTTACACAGCTACAGGAAGATGTATGATTATTAAATGTCACTGTAACCAAGAAATTAACTGCTTTGGTGGATACTGTATGAATTACATATTTCTTAATCAGTTCAATAGGTTTGATCAGCACAAAGGCCACTTGTGTGGAGCGACGCATCACGCAGGTATTAAGAGACCAGGCTATGTCAGCAAGACGGGGGAGAACTTTTATAATAATCCTTGCATGGATTGAGTGACCAAATTATTAGTTTTATTTATTTTTTGAAAGGATTATTATCCCCGGAAAAGCGACCCGCCAATCAACTAAGGGGTTCCTACTTACTGCTAGGTAAACTGAGGAGTGTGGAGTAAGGAAACTTGCCCTGCCCAGGAAATTAGCCTGGGTCCGTTCGCTTGCGAGTTGAGTGCTCTAACCAACAGGCTCTCAAACTGTCCATTTTAAATAGCTCTTTTAAAATTTTACTGAGAACTCTTTCTCTTATTAAATAATGACTCAAGAACTAATGCACACTGCTTGCTGTCTTATCGCCTGAGGTGGGTACAGATGCAAATTCCTTTTCGCAGCCCCTTCCAATTTGTTCTTTTGTCCTCAAGGCAATAAATCATGTTCCACAGCCCAACATTAATGCATCTCAAGCATCTGTACACACAAGTCTAGGCAATGCACATCAATAGCTCATAGGGAGAACAGAAAGGCTGAGCCTAATCCTGTTCTCACACAAGTACCCAGGGTTTTTCCCAAGCCCTGGCCGATTCTACCCCCTTTCTGATCTCAAATGTAGTGTGCTCTGCAATGTGGATAGAATCTGGCTCAGGTATGGTTCCTCTCCTCCCCCACTGCCACCTTATATGTTTGAAAAATCTACTGACACTATACAATAATAATCCTTGCATTTGATAGAGTCTTATCACGTCTTCCAGTCATCTCAAAGCGCTTCACAGAATATACTGTAAAGTGAATTAACGGTATTATTGAGGTCCAGCGGTAGCTACAGGACATTGTGTACCAGGGTATCTCTGAACCTGTCGTCTGAATCCAGTTCCTTTGTTTGTCTGAAGTAAACAGTTTAAATCCACGATTTAGTTGTGACCAAAGTGATTAAGGATTGATGTGTGTGTTAATCGCTTAATTATCAGACACCCCACCCCAAGCAATGCAGCGCATCAGGAGTTGAATACTGTACCTGGAACCATTGGTGAAGTGGGATCCGGAAGTTGGGGGAAGACCAGTGGCTATTCCTGCAGCCCCAGCCCAACTGGCAGCTGCGATGTTCATTCCTGTCATAGATATTGGCCTTTTGGTGTAGGGGGAGAATCCGTGGTTGGGAGATGCCACTAGAGACGAGCGGCTGGAAGGCTGTTGGGTGGAGGGGCCTGCTAGGTTGTACACAATATGTCGATTACGATTCAACATGGGTCCCGTGACAGTATTGGCCAAACACTGGTGACAAGAGCACAATTGCCCATTGTGCATGGGTCCAGCGGTAGCTAAAGGATATTGTGCACCAGGATATCTCTGAACCCGTCGTCTGAATCCAGTTCCTTTGTTTGTCTGGAATAAACTGTTTAAATCCACGATATAGTTGTAACCGAAGTGTCCTAAATCTGCAATCTGTTGCCGAGCACTGTAGGAATTTTCTATAAAAATACAAATGTGCATTTCATAGGCTGTCCAACCACCTTCATCATTCTCCCATTGCCATAGGATTCCTTTTGCTGGGGCCGAGGTCTGTGAATAAAGCTGCCTCCTAATGTTACGCATTCTTCCTGTGGAGAAAGAGAGAGAGAAAAAAAATGGGAGACAGATTCCATTTTTTTTTACACACAAAATGAACCACAATGAAAACACACAGAAATTAGTGCGTTACAACCATTAGACTAGGCGATGCATTTAATTGTTGAATTAAACTTTTACTTTGAAGTTCTTCTTCTGACAACCATTTGAAATAGTTCACAAGATTATAATATGACGCATAAACTGCTAATTTCTCAAATCCGTGAAGATTTTAATCCAAAATACTTCTCCACACAAGCCTCAGCTCTGAGTTGGAACCTCAGAAAATGGGTGGTTTAGGAGTTTGCGTCTGCAATTCCCCGTCTGGCAAGTTCCCAAGATCAGTGCTACCCCAGCATCGCAATCTGATGTGAGGGAGGGAGCTGTGCAGGTGGCTACACAGGTGAAACCTGCTCAGAAGGTTGCAAAAGAAAAAGAGGAAATGGTCTTTTTTTAAAATAAATCAACCAAGATCCAATAATCTGGTGGAACAGGCCTGACATCTTGGGCACTATGGATGTCTGAATGGCCTGTTCCTATATCAATTGTTAGCAGTTGAAATATGGATTCCTAATGAGACCACTTTGAAGGGAGAGGCTCCTGTAAGGTGGAAGGAAGGTGGAAGCAAAACCAACTCACAACTAGATGTCCATTCCAAATGACCGGATTTACTCATTTATTTTTTGTCTTACAAAACCCTTATTGATTCTGAACCCCGTTAAACAATCTATAGAAAATGTACAGCACACACTATTCAACTGTCCAGCCCACTAATGACACAGGACTGAACTATTCTGTGGCCACTACAATCTGTCCATGTATGTGCAGATTTCCTGTTATTCTTTCTAATTTCCTTTGAAGGGCAATGTGTCGGTGTGCAGACAACTATTAAAGTAGTCAGTGCATTTCAACCCACACGTCTGTTAGCCAGAGCATGTTTTATCTGCACTTCCGATCAGCAATGCCCTGTTGATATCCCAGCAGGTTAAATCCCCTCCTCCTCACCAGCTCTTCTACATATAACTGACCTATCACCCAGTTCAACATGCTATATGGAAAATTGATAGGGGTGAAAAATATATGAAGAATATATGAATGACACCGGGCAGTCTGTAACTCTGGAAACTCCTTCATAGGCCACACAACGTGTTTGTGGGACATAGCTGTGTGCAATTGGCTGCTGCACTTCGCCCACACTGGGAGAAAAGCCATTCTCTTTCCGAATAGTGTCATGGAATCATAAACATCCACCTGAAGATAGGCAGGTGCCATGTCAATTTAGCATCTCAACAGAAAATGGGGCTTGAACCCACAAACTTCTAACCCAGAGGCGCAATTGCAGTGGAGATTAATTACAGTTCTTTCCTCCTGGCAATGCCGGACACTTGTGTTAATTTATAATGTTTTATAGAGACCGGTGGCACAGAATGCTAGGGCTCCAACAGAATGTAAAAATTCACAAGTATCATCAATAGTTCAACAAGGAGTTAAAGAAGCTCCCGAGATTAATACGGTACTGTGATTTAACACTGCTTATAGAGCTGTGCTAACAACTCCTTTGCCTAAGCATTTATCGACTGACAATGAGAAGAATCCACAGGCATATGAATGTCAAGTTGATCAACATTTGAACTATTCATCCACTCTCCTTCACCGCCACATCTGTACTCCATGAGTTACGTTTTCCTTAATGCCAAAAACAAGTTTGAATGGGGCCTGAGAAGGAGATCTGAGGTGCCGGAAACACAAGGTAAATGAAAAGAGATATTGAAGCAAATCCTCTGCAGTGCTGTATGCATTACATTTCACAAACGTCAATTCAAGGTTATTCGACTCATAAGAGCTCCAAGATTCAATCCACCACTTCCGGGCTGATGAAGGCTGAAGCCGCTGTGGCCGCAGGAACCAGACAATATCCGTAATTTCATGACTTTGATTTGAGAAATTTCAAAACAAGCTGCCGAGCAGTAATTGTGTTGGGCCTATTTGTAAGTCTGAACTATGATGTTGACGATGTTTGAGCATGAAATTATCTTGGACTAGATTTGGACTGCCAAGTGATCAGAATGACACGACAATATACTTTTCACTCAAGGTGGGACTTCCTGTCACTAAGTCTGTAATAAATATGTTCAGGCTGGAAAGTTCATTTGCATCTCATCTACAGGGCTTTATTTTCCAGCTTTAAAACAACACATTTCAGCAGCCGTTTAGCAACAACAGCTCAGTTTCTCCATCAGATCCCTTGTGGTCGATCCTATTTCGCTGACTGGTTTTAAGTGCCACACTGGCTTGGTTGTCAGCACTCTCGCCCCCAGGTCAGAAGGTTCAAACTGTGCATCAGGAGTTGAGCTTAGTTTAAGCTGATACTCTGGTACACTGCTCGGGGAAGCCAGGCAAGCTGACAAAAGGTTAAACCAAGGTCCCGTGGGCCTGTTCTTCAGGTGGACATTAAAATCATAAACAGCAATACAGTAAAACTCACACAATTCCACACGACTGCTCTAAGTACCTTACCCTGAATATATCTATTACAGATTTAGTGACAGGAAGTCCCACCTTGAGTGAAGAGTATAATTTAATGTCATTGTGATCACTTGGCAGTCCAAATCTACCTTTCCATGTACTGAGTACCCTCACGGTAGTTCTCGTGTTTTAATGATTTTAGTTCAGATTTCTCACATTTGCAGGTTTTACTTTGATCTCTTCAGGCCAGATATCTAAGCAGGTTTTTCCAGTATGCTTTGCCTGAAATCCAAGCCTATATACAACGATTACAAGGCTCAAATGTGCATTTTATCCTCCCTATATTTGAATGTGGGAATGGATAAAATGCACCCTACAAAACAATTCTTTGCCATGCTGCAGAGAAAACAGCATCACAAGATCACCAATATATAGTACAAAACTTTACATGCCATGTGGAAATATTTCAATAATACAAGATTGGGGGTTTCGGTTAACAGGCAGCTAATCCTTGCAGCAGAAAAATGTGGTTTCACGCTATGAACAAAGCAGCCGTTTTGACAACTGGAATGCTGGGCCAAACAAACTTGGGCACTATAGACACTAAATATTCATGAGATCCTCAGCAGTTCCCTCTACTGCAACCATCCTGTGTCATTAAATAATGAACAGCACATAGATTTTTGTAGAGAACAATAAAAGGTTAATGTTCTGCCAGGTTTTCTATGCGATGGAATAATCCCTTATTTTCCTGTGACACAATGGAGAATCCTAAACCTCCACACTGAACAAGCGACTCAGTAAGAGAGCTGTGGGCTTAATGCTTAGTTCTAAGTTCCTCGTTCCACTGCCTACTTGCTCCAGACATCAAATCCACAAAGATCGACTACCTTTGTGTGAAGCTATAATTGTGTGAAGCTATAAAAAGTCCCTGTATTAAAAAAAATTGCACTGCAAATCCTCCAGTGAAAAAGGATGGAGATTGCCTTGTTGTGTAAGTGAGATCTGAGGAAAAAAATGGGAGATAATAGGAAGCAATGTTTTCATCTTGTATTTCCATCTATGTTTGCCACAAGAAGCTAAAAGTGGATTTTGACTGCAGTATGATCTGGTAACACACCATTTCACACCAGATAAGCACTTTATTGCTGTTAACCATTGTGATCAGGCCAATTAAAACAGGAATTATTATGGGGGGGGGGGGGGCTGGTGGAAAGAGAAGGAGTGTGCATTGAAAGCACTGCTGTGATTGACTAAGCTAAAAGCACACAGCTTACCAGTACAAAGCACTGGGAAGCTTCCAGCCGCTTGGCCAACCCGTGAGAGCTTTCGCTCGCAGTGTTACCAAGAACCAAGAAAAAAGAATCCCTTCCCCCATTCCCATTGTTGAGACAGACAAGCAGGTCAAGCGTCTGGCTTAGCCATTGAATCCTTGAGTTCAGCAAAGAGGGGCGACTCAGCTCTGCTTCCCCTGTTGCCATGTGAGTAACCCCGGAGCCACCTCTAGCCTGAAAGACATGCTCAGTCTGAAGATTGATAGTGACAAGTTGGTCGTCCTGTAACTACTCAATCCACAATACTTAATTATATGATCAACAGGACATTGTAATCTTACTGGAGGAATTTTCAGGCACATTCTATTCCTGATCCACCAGGGAATCCTTACTCCAAAGTTTAAAAAAAAATCCAAAAAATAATGCTCATGTAAAACAGCTGTTAGGAAATACCATGATTTCTCAATCACTGCAAAAAATAGCCTATTCCCTTTAAAAATAATTGGCTGCCGCGTTTCTCCCACACAAAAAAATTTGCAGTCAATGACAGTGGAGTCCTGTAGCTCAGTAGTTAGAGCACTCGCTTTGCAAGCGAGAGACCTGAGTTCAATTCCAGGCAGAGGGCGAAACCTCGGGCAAGTTTCCTTACTCCACACAGAGCCTAATAATAGTCCCTCCAAAACCAAAAACAATAATAAATTGGTCATTTTCAATCGACGACTGTTTGTGGGACATTGCTGTGCGCCATTGGCCGCCGCGTTCACCCACAAGCATACAGTCAATTCACTTTACAGTGTGTTCTGTGAAGCGCTTTGGGACGTCCTCCCGACGTGAACAGCGCTATATCAAATGCGAAGGATTATTATTATTATTAGTGTATGGTGCGAAGTCCTTTGAGACGTCTCACAGACGTGATAAGGCGATATATCAAAATGCAAAGATTATTATTATTATCATCATCATTACTACAGACTGTGGGGTGAAAACGCCAGGATTCTTCTTCTTATTCTTATTATTATTATTCTCCTTATGATCATCTCAAATCAGTGGAGGGTTGTGAGAATGACGAAGTGAAGTAATCTAAACCCAAATTATTCTGAGGAAGTTTAGAGTCAACCTCTCTCTCTCCCCCCCCCCCCCCTCCCTCTCTCTTCCCCCCCCTCTCTCTCTCCCCTTCTCTCCCCCCCTCTCTCTCCCCCCCTCTCTCTACCCCCTCCTCTCCCCTCCCTCTCTCTCCTCTCCCTCTCCTCCCCCCCCCTCCTCTCCCTCTCCCCCTCTCTCCCCCCCTCCCTCTCTCTCCTCTCCCTCTTTCCTCTCTCTCCCCCCCTCTCTCTCCCCCTCCTCTCCCCCCCTCCCTCTCTCTCCTCTCCCTCTTTCCTCTCTCTCCCCTCCGTCCCCCCCTCTCTCTCCCCCCCCTCCTCTCTCCCCTCCTCTCCCCCCCCTGTAAACCAGCTGGATGTCAAGAGCCAGAGCGGGGGCCCGAACCGTCAGTACCTGTGTCCTGGCGGAACTGTGTGAGCGTGGGGATGTCGATGATGTAGGGCGCGAGCCAGGGGTCGGCCTGGCCCAGCGAGATGCTGTGGGCCCCTTTGGCCGCCGCTCCGTGCAGCAGCGGCAGCTGCTGGAGGCTGCGCTCGATGTGCTCACTCACTCGGCCGCTGTAAGGCCTCCAGCGGCCCATCTCGTCCTCCCACTCCCACACGGTGACCAGCGGCCCGGGAGCGGCGGCGGAGGGAGCGGCGGAGGGAGCGGCGGCGGCGCCTCCACCACCTCCGTGGCCGCCGCCGATGATGATGGCGGTGGGGCCCGGCGGCCCGGGGTAAGCGAAGGGGACCGGGGGGAAAATGGCGGGTCCGCCGCTTCCCCCTCCACCACCTCCTCCTCCTCCCGCTGCTGCTCCTCCACCGCCGCCTCCTCCTCCTCCTCCACCACCGTGAGCCGAAGCTGCCATTTGCTCCTCTTCGCGGTGCGGGGAACCGCACGAACTACGAACGCGGGACAACTTTCCTCCGACGTCGTCCTCCGTCCTCCTCCCCTCAATGCATCTTGTACCGTCTCCAAGGGACGTCACAGAGCATCTCGCGCGGGGCCCGCTGGAACTTGTAGTCCTTTCCCGCCAGTCACGGCGGGCGCGGCGATACCCGGATCCTGCTCAGCCGAACTACAAGTCCCGAGATGCTCCGCGGGCCGTCAGTCAGTCAGGCCTGTGGGACTCCCCCCCCTTCTCCCCCACAGCATCAAGTTAATGGAAACCAAAACTTAAAATTCGTTCCACCAACTTTTTTTCCCCCTACTTTACATTTACTTGCAGCCACAGGGTACTGAGACGCAAAGGGAGTTTCAGAGGACAGTGTGTCCAATCAATCCACAGGCTTTCTCCCCCCCCCCCCCCCCACACCCACCCCAATGTATTATTGATGATTCCCTCAACACTGTTGGGGCTGTGCTGATGTACAAAGTTTCACAAGGCTGGAAAGTCCCACCTGCAATCCCCAAGCTTCAGTCGTCACTTGATTTGCTGTCGCGTACACTCACGGCGAGGTTGCGGGAAACACGAGTCAAATGAATATTGTGGGCCAAAAACTCTGGGGGGGGGGGGGGAGAAAAAAAAACCCTTCTTGCATTGAACAGTGCCATGGCAATGTCCACCCGACTAGCAGACATTACTCTCGGTCAGTGGTGGCTAACCCGTGGGAGTGCTCAAGAAGTAAATAACTTGATTTCTCCGTCACGAGAGGGACAGAATATTGTTGTCATGAGTATGTTACACTGCGTTGTGCACACCTAAAAGCCAACGTTCCACATCAGACGGTGATGAGGAAGCAACGAGTAAACATTCCTCACTAATATGCTGGCATTTTCTTCACTGTAAACTGTTCTGTCGTGGGCTTGTGACAACGTCCATTGTTGCCGACAGTGGCATCTAGTGGCCAAAATAATGTTGTAAACAGGAAGTCAAAGAGAAAATAACACTTCGTAGAAAAACATTGGCGGATGAATAGATGTATTGATTCCATCTCATTTTAACTGAATAGTTGACGACCAGTTCAATATGGCTGTGAGGCTCAGCTCAATTAAGGGCTTACACGATAAAATTACATAATCAATAAAGTAATCTAACCATATACTCTAAAAATGTACAGCGATTGTATATTGTAGAAAAGCACTAAAATTGGTTTATGTGCCAGTTAGTACTAAAACTGATGACTCCACCAGTTTTATCTAGCGGCTTGTTAGGAAGCACCTAGTTTTACTTAGACAACACTGTCAAAATCAAGAAATCACCCAACCTTATCCAATCTTGTGTTTGTGTCACAGTAAAATGAAACACTTGTCTGAAATGCTACAAATCTGCTCCTTAAATAAACCTATTTTAATGACTATTTTTTGATGATTCAGATACAAAAATCAAAGCTTGACAATTGAATACAAAACAGAAGGTGTCATTATGAAGAGTTTAAAAGCAGTACACCCCAAGAAACTCAACACTTTCAGGTCTCCATCTATTCCCACAAACTGCATACCCTTGCATTTGATATAACGCCTTGTCACGTATTCGAGATGTCTCAAAGCACTTCACAGAATATACTGTAAAGTGAATTGACTGTATACTTTGGGGCAAAACCGCAAAAACAATAAGGACTGGAGGAGGAAAGGTTGACAAAATATGAATAATTTGAAAAAACAATCCCTTATGTCTCGCAAAGATAGTTAGCTTTATAAAAGAAATCAAATGTGCTTGAGACTTCGGAGTTTTACACAGGATTACCCTGAAAGCTCAAAGCTATATCCAAGAATTGTTTCCCCAATGCTTCCTGCTTTCCTCCTTGACTGAATTCTTCTGATAGCTCCCTGAACGTGCTACATATTCGTCTTGACTTGATACTTTCTCTATGAATGGCATGTTTCCATTTATAACGTGCCTCCCCATACAACACAACCAAAGATCTCCTCGGCACGTGGATGGCCACCTCCACATCACTATAACAAGTTAGCCTTTGCCCTGCTTCACTTGTCCTTTCCACTCTGCAGTCACCTGTACAGTGAACTGGAAGATTATCCCCATTAAAATGGAAAGTTCTCTCTGACTGGTCAGTTACTGGAGCAGGTGACTGTGTGTTGCACATCTGTCCAGATGGATGCAGCTGGATGTAGTTGTCCGAGTCGCGCGACATTGATAACGTGGTGTCAGCCAGTAGATTCACGCTGACCAGGCGTTCTCCCCACAGCCACCAGTCGTCAAAGTGTGGGTCAATGGAGGAACCTCGCTCTGGCCTATAATCCAGGTTACACTGTTCTACAGGAAGGAAGTCCTTCAGCACCGGGCACTTTAGCATTCGGTTCACAAGCTGATGGCTGAAGCTCGGCAGGCCATTGAAACACCCAGTTTTCAGCTTGCGTTTCTTAAAATTCACCTTTGGACCATAATCCTACATGTAGAAAAGAAAATGGTTAAGAAACGTGACATTTTTAGCAGAGAAGGAAGTCTTTGCCCCATCATGTCTTTGCAACCGATACCCATTTTCCTAAATTGCTGCTTTTGTATTAATCCCTCTTTCCCCGTATCTCTTTTTAATGCTCAGATTAGTGTTTTTGTACTGAAAGCCAGGAAAAACGCACAGTCAGGAAAAACACACCTGTTTCTTTCGCCCAGATTGTGAAGATTTCCACTCATCTCTATCCATCATGTCCACCAGTTGGGTCTCCTCCTCCTCACTGACAAAATTGTCCAATAAATACACACCAGGGAACGGTAAAGCCCATTTACTAAATCCACAGAATTCACCCCCCACTGCGAAACCTGACCTACGATCGTAAGTGAGTTGGTACTTTTTCTGCAGAAAGAAAAATAGACAATGATCAATTTCAACGCTTAAAACTAATACATGGGAGAACCATAGCCAAGTAGGAAGCTACTTTTTCACTCCCCAAATAGGATCTGTGACAGGATGACCATTCAGGTAAGTACCACCGCAGTTGAGGCATTTACTTAACATGCCTGTTATCATAGAATGACATGACATGTAAACAGACCGTTCAGCCCAATTAGTCTGTATCTCTGGTGTAAGATTGCTTTATAAACTTGGCTAATCCTGGTTGTCCATCATAGATTTTGATCGTCATCTCGGCTGTTGCTATTTGTATGCTTTGTTGGAACGGGTATAGGAATCGGGTGTAACATGGGGCTGAATCAACACTTTTAGACACTGTAAATATGTATGATCTATACATATCCACGGGGCGCGGTCTGCGGGACGCTGTTGGGCCCAATTGGCTGCCTGGTTTCACCCGCAAAATACACATGCAAATTCAACCACCACCGCCATAACCACAACCACATGGGATTTATACAGCGCCCTCTCCACGCCGGAACGGCGTCTCACGAGCGCTTAAATTCACTTGACAGACAGCGTATTCCGCAAAGCGCTTTGAGACGCTCTGGGAGACGCGATAAAGGTGTTATATCGAACGCAAAGATTGTGGTGACGGTGATGGTGATTGTGGTGACGGTGATGATGATTGTGGTGACGGTGGTGGTGATGATGATGATGGTGATGATGATGGTGATGATGATTGTGGTGACGGTGGTGGTGATGATGATGATGATTGTGGTGACGGTGATGATGATGATTGTGGTGATGGTGGTGGTGATGATGATGATGATGATGATGATGATTTGCTTCTTACCCGGACTTGGAGCTTGGGCGACCCGCTCTCCTCACACGTCAGGCACGAGCGGATGCCTTTGCACCCGCAGCTCGGCTCCCGGGCGCTCTCCGCCATGGCCTCGGGCCGGGTCCAGCTCCCTCCTTCCTCCTTCCCCCCCTCCGGGAATTCGGTCCCCGCTGAACCAACCCGAGACCTCTTGTATTTTATTTTTCCCGCCGCTCACCGGGAAGGGCCGCCGCCATGACACCCGCCGCCGCTGCTGCCACTGGGAGAGCGGAGTGCGCACGCGCGCGGAGGGTGGGGGGGGGGGGGGGAGCACCCAACCAACTGCCGCCGGCAGCCACGTGACCAGGCCGGGCCGGGGCGGGGCGGGGCGGGTTCACGCCCGATTGGGCGGGTTTTATTCTCGCCTAAACCGCCCACTCTGCCGCTAACCGGTACATATGCATCTCTACCGGCGGGTGATATTGGGCTACTTTTTTTTTTTTTGGGCGGGGGGGCGGCTGTCCGCCCGCCGGCTGAGGGCGCTGTTTGAGCGGGAATCTCGCGCTCGGGCCGCCGGCGACAGTTGGAGGCTCGGGCGGGAAACTCGAGCCGCGGGTGAAGCCTCTGCTCCGGCGAATGGGCGCCTTAGTGTTCGCTTCCAGTGGATAGAAGCGCTCTCCTCACAGAGGCCACAGAGACCCCCCACCCCACACACACACCCACACACACACTGTATACCCGGCAGTAAGTAGGGGGCGGGTTGTTAGTGGGGTGGAGGTGGGGGGGGGGGTGTGGGGGGAGGGGGGACCGTTTTTTCCAGCGGTTGATAATCCCTTCAAGAAAAAAAATAATAATAATAATCCTCGCATTTGATATAGCGCTTTTCACATCGGGAGGACGTCCCAAAGCGCTTCACAGAACACACTGTAAAGTGAATTGACTGTATATTTGTGGGCGAACGCGGCAGCCAATTGCGCACAGCAATGTCCCACAAACAGTCGTGGGTTGAAAATGACCAATTTATTATTGTTTTTGGTTTTGGAGGGACTATTATTAGGCTCTGTGTGGAGTAAGGAAACTTGCCCGAGGTTTCGCCCTCTGCCTGGAATTGAACTCAGGTCTCTCACTCGCAAAGCGAGTGCTCTAACCACTGAGCTACAGGACTCCACAATAGTTTGGATAATCACCCGCGGCTGTTTCTGGGACACAATCGAGTGGCTTCGCGGCGTGTCCCGCGCGGCGCTCTCCTGAGCCGTCCGGAGGACGCGCTGAGGCGCCGCCTCAGATGCCAGGATTATTATTATCGACGATGACGACGGTATTGCGTTGTAAGATAATCGGCATCTCTCGAACGTTTGCAGGGGCATCCGAAGAAGATGACGACGAGGGTCACGCGAGAGCTGCTGCTCGCAAAGGGGACTCCGAAATGCGCGCACTTGAGACACGTCAAGAAGATCGAGTGGGTACCCCGACATCCCGCGCCCCCCTCGTCGCTATTCCCGCATAGGTACTCGTGGCGCGGAAACGGAGCAGTTATTCCGCCGCACCTGTCCGGAGTCGAACGCAAGAATTTGTTCGGCGAAGGAAGACCAAAACCGGCTGTTCGGGAAAACCTGGGCAGCGGCTGTGGATAAAAGTGACGCGTCGGTGGTGTTTTTAATGTTTCACCGATAATAATAATCCTCGCATTTTGATATAGCGCTTTTCACGTCGGGAGGACGTCCCAAAGCGCTTCACAGAACGCACTGCAAAGTGAATTGACTGTACATTTGTGGGCGAACGCGGCAGCCAATTGCGCACAGCGATGTCCCACAAACAGTCGTAGACTGAAAATGACTAATTTTATTATTGTTTTGGGTTTTGGAGGATTATTATTAGGCTCTGTGTGGAGTAAGGAAACTTGGCCCAAGGTTTCGCCCTCTGCCTGGAATTGAACTCAGGTCTCTCGCTTGCAAAGCGAGTGCTCATGCTATTACTTGACTGCTCGTGACGCTTGTCTTGTTAATTCCCGTCTAAACCGTACCTTCCTGTTTCTATTCAGCCTTTCTAATCTGCAGCTGAGCACAAGTGATTTGGATCCACGGTTGCTTTCGCAGATGACGAGGCTGAAAGAACTGAACGTGTCGGGAAATCTGTTGAGTGAGATTCCACCCAATTTGGGACTTGTCGAGCTGCGAGTCCTCAACTGTGCCAATAATCAGCTGGAGGATATTATGTCACTGAGCCAGTTCCCACACCTCGAGGATCTCATCTATGAAGACAACTTGTATTTGACAGTAAGTAGTGGAAGCCGAGTTATCGTGGAGCCCTAAATTCACATCACTGGGAGCAGGGAATCATCCCGCTCAGCTCCTGTTAACCCTGCAAGCCAAAGCCCTAACAGGTAGAATGGTTCTAGCTGAAGAAACAGCGAGAGAGCTTGCCAGACTGCAATATCAATGGCAAGCAATGTGGGATTAGCTGGTTAGACTCCAGCAGTACCCATCACACACTATGGGGTCCCCAAGCCTTGCCAACCTGCACCTAACACTTTCCAGATTCAGTAGAATTTAAGAGGCTATAGAGGTGAATGTGGAGGGATTTGAATACGTGGATGAGGATGTTGAACTTGATCCACTGGGGGATATGGAGCCAAGCAAGGCTGGGGATATGGTTAAATTAGATCCCACATTTGCCTACAAGATACACAGTCATTGTACTTCAGTTATTCCCGTGAAGTGCTTTGAGATGTTTTTCCATTGTGAAAGGTGCTATATCAAATGCAAGTACTATTAATATTTCTGTTTAGATTAGCGACCACTACAAGATGATGTATATGTTGTCGAATCTGCAACGCATCAATGGAAAGGATATAACATCCAGTGCAAATCACCTGAGGTTCGTCAACAGCCGAGAACTAATGGCTCGAGTGAGTTCTTGATATTTGTGTAACAAAGATTTTTCTGAACTACATTGGGATTATTGATGATTTAGCCAGTTTACAACTGAGGGCCTTGCAAGACACAACACGAAACGGAAAGGAAACAGGATCTACTTATTGCGTAGTTATTCAAAGCACTTCAAAGGAATGCTTGTGAAGTGGACTGTAATAAAAAATGCCTCGGTATTATCTTATTTTAACAATAATAACAATCGAACTGCTCAGTTGTGGGATATTTTAGCCATTTCTCTGAAAAAGGGAGTGGGACATGTCAGAACAATAAGTTTCTGATCCGTTTGCCTCAGTAGACATTGTGTACTTACTGTATGTCAGTTCAACCTATCCACTGAAATGACTGGGACTGTTATTATAATAAGGTGATGGATGAATTGGGAGAGAGTGGAACTGATCACACTGCTGCTATCTTAGAGCTTTTACGATAACTTGCATTTAACCCGACACTAAAAAGATGGCCGATATTTCCTGCCTATTTGTTACATGTGCACTTATTATTATAATGATTTTATTTCTCTAGGTAACTTCTTTTTGGGAGAAAAACTATAAGGACCAGTTCTCAGATCCACCCAGCCCTGAGGAGATAAGAGAGGTTGGGAAAGCCTTTGTGAAATCTGCAGTGGCTAAAGTTAATTATGGGCCAAATTCCCTACGTGAATTTACAAAATGGAGGGTAGGTAGTTTTGTGTCTTTATCTAATTATTGGGCCGATGACCTTGTTTCTCTGCATGCAAATGCAGGAGAAATTTTGATCATTTACAACAACAACTTGCATTTATAAAGCGCCACTCACACAGGGTAGCTTTCCAGAGCGCTTGACAGTGGTGGAGCACGATGCTGAGCCGGGGGGATGGAGGAGGTGACTGTACCCATGGTCAAAGGGGGAGGTCTTGAGGTGTGATCTGAAGATGGGGAAGGAAAAGGGCAAGATGGAGGGATAGAGGAAGAGTGTTCCTGAGTTTCAGGGCTGAATTTGCCTCACAACCTGCAGTTTTGCCTGGCTCCTCGAGCAGCCTCTAGTGAGTCTCTTTTAGGTGTTGACATTTCTCTACTTCACCGCCCAGGTGGAAACGATTGCAACTGAACTTGTGGCCTCTCTGGAACAGAATGAGAAGGAAGAGGCCTCGGACTCCGAGGAGAATAAAAGTGAGGAGGAGGAGGATGAAGATGATATTAATGTAAGACTTTGATGACTTCATCTAATTTTTTTGAGGAAAAAATATTTGGGGAGCATTTTCTCGAGCATAGGCTGAATGGCTTACGTTCCTATATATATGTGTGTGTGTTCATTTGTATGTTCCTTCTGCTTTTGTCCTCACCCTCTATATGCTCCCCCTCGGTGACATCATCCGCAAACATGGGGTTAACTTCCACATGTATGCGGATGACACCCAACTCTACCTTTCCTCCTCTACTCTCAACTCCACGACCACCGATGTACTGACAGCTGTCTGTCCGACATCGAGTCCTGGACGAGAGACAACTTTCTTCAGCTCAACGTGCGAAAAACCGAGGCCCTCCTGATTGGCTCACGTCAGCGCCTCCGCACCTCAGGCGCCGACACCATCAGCATCCAAGGCTGCACTCTCCACCTCTCAAAGCCAGTCAGGAACCTCGGCGTTTTGTTCGACCCTGAGCTGTCCTTTCTCCCTCACATCCGCACCACAACTGGCACCGCCTTCCATCACCTCCGGAATATCGCCAGACTACGGCACTACCTCACCCCTCACGCTGCTGAAACCCTGGTTCACGCCTTTGTCACCTCAAGGCTGGACTATGGGAACTCTCTCCTCGCCGGCCTTCCCGCCACCTCCCTCCACACTGCAGGTCATTCAGAACTCTGCAGCTCGTGTACTGTCCCGCACCAGGCTTCGGGACCACATCACTCCTACCCTCGCTCCCCTCCACTGGCTCCCCATCCCCCAGAGGATTGATTTCAAGATCCTCATCCTCACCTACAAGGCCATTCACGGCCTTGCTCCCTCCTACCTCTCCAACCTACTATCCCCCTACCTACCTGCCCGTACCCTCCGTTCCTCTGGCTCCGGTCTGCTCCACGTCCCCCGCCCCAACCGCCCTACTATCGGTGGTCGGGCCTTCAGCCTCTCAGCCCCGAGGCTCTGGAACTCCATCCCCCAGTGCCTTCGCCTTGCTTCCTCCCTTTCCTCCTTCAAGGCCGGTCTCAAAACCTTTCTCTTTGACCGTGCCTTCAGCTCCCCTCTCGACTCTCTTCCTCCTCCTCGCTCCCTCCCTTCCCTCCCCTCACCCTGACCATTTCCCCCTCCTCTCTCCCTCCCTTCCCTCCCCTCACCCTGACCATTTCCCCCCTGCTCGGGTCATGACCCAACTGTGCAGCGCCTTGGGACGTCCTCCTGACGTGAAAGGCGCTCTATAAATGGAATCTTGTTGTTGTTGTTGTTGTTGTTGTCCATCTGTTGGAATCACCTGGTGCTGAGTGTTACTTCTTTTGAGAATTTTCTGCTTTAAAACCTTTCATGGAGTAAAGTTTGTCCAGGGTTTCGATCTCTCACAAACTTTGATAGGAAATAATTAAAACTTGTATTTGGTATAGAATGTTGTGTTATCTCACCCCAGGTTAATTTTGAGAAATATCAGAATGACAGCAAAGACACACCCAGGAAGAGTATGAGAATTCAGCATCAGAGAGAAGGACAAATGCTCTCCACACCTCAGAGCTCTAAGTCGAGGAGTGGAGTTGCAAAGCAAAATGAAACCAGAACAAGTCTCAGAAAGAGAAATCACTCCATGACACCAGGGACCCTGGCTGAAGAGAAGAGGACTCCAAGAAAGAAATCAAAGTGCAAGGTAACTGACAGATCACATGAACTTTCTTCTCTATGGTTGAATTGCCAGAGCTCGTGAAGCTGGTGTAAACCTTAGGCAAGTTTGCTTACTCCACACACATCTGTTTACCTAGAAGTAAGTAGGAACCTGGTGGTAGTCAATTGGCAGATTGCTTTTCTGAGGGTAATAATCCCTTCAAAAAAAAATTATGTGTACACTTTCATGCTCCATAACTATTAAACTATTAAATAGCATGGTCAAAGGGATCTAATCTAAATGTACTTGGACTTTATGTTTTTATGTTGCTGTAGTACTTGATTCTTATCACAGTGTGGCTTTATAACCTACAACCGTGAATTACTTCATACTGAATTGCAGATCCAATTGATTCTGTTAAAACGTGCTGTGAATAAAAAGACCTGTAACAGAATAATGTGCGCAGTCAAAAAGCAATACAGGGTAGGAGGGGGTGGGGGGGTGGTTACAATATAGGAAATACAGTAATTGAAAAGATGTAACAAATGGAGTTAAAAAAGAACGTAAAATGCTGCCCGTGTGGGTGGCAGACTGTCTTTGGGCACTGTTCTGCATGACCCAAGTCTGAAGCTTGCTTTGGCTGCCTTTCTGGCTGGTCAGTGAAGGAGATCCACAAGGAGGGAAAATGTACTTTATAAGTAAGTAAAAGGTCATTTGTTTATTTCATGGTTGTTTGTGGGGCATTGCTGTGTGCAATTGGGTTGCCGCATTCACCTACAAGTACAGTCACTACTCCACTTTGCAGTAAAATCCTGTGAAGTGCTTTGGCGCGTCCTCCGGGCGTGAAAGGCAGTAATACCAAATGCAAGGAATATTCTGATTGAAAGTCAGGCGCAGGAACGTTGCAGTTTTTGCTTTCCTTAAAGCTGGAGCACAGGGGCCATTTCCATTTCCTAGTTGTGAGCTGCAACTTAATTCTGGGCTTTTTTTGTATACCGCTCTCGAACAGAGAATTGTTGTTTTGCCCCGTAATTATCCTCTGTCTTCTGCTGGAAATGGGGAAGAAAGAGCAACGTACGTCAGTCATGTCATCTGTCAGCTGTATTGAGATGGGGAACTAACCACAAGGGGAGGGAGACAGAAATCTTCCTGTGCTCAAAACGACCCAGGAAAACATGTCCATACTTTGGCAAGAGCAGAGGACATTTAGTGATAGAAATCTAAACTAGGCCTTGTGTTGTTATTCCTCTCCCTCCACAGGTTTCTAATAGATTTGTTTCTCCCCCCATCTCCAGACACCAATTGCTCTGGAACCTTTACATTTTCTACAGAGTCACAGCAAGAATAACAATCCTGACGATTTCAGCACCCAGTTGTGGGCCTGTGCCTTTGAACCAGAATCCAACAGCACTCAAATTCTAGGTATATTTAATACAACTATAAAACCATCCATGTTCTATAGCAAATGCCAGGCAGGGCGAAACCTTAGACGAGTTTCCTTACTCCACATGCTTCTGTTTCCCTAGCAGTAAGTAGGAACCTGCTTGTCAGTCAATTGGCGGATTGCTTTTCTGGTGGTAATAATCCCTTCAAAAAAAAATTATAATAATTTGGTCACTCAATCCATGACTGTTTGTGGACACTGCTGTGCACAATTGGCTGCCGTGTTTCGCTCACAAAATATAAATTTGATTTTAAATTCGATGCATTTTGTGGTGTCTCTTCGTGACTTTTTTCTTTTACATGTTTTTGATTTGTTAACAATTGTCTCAATACTCCTGGATGTCAGATTATCCCATTTCAATATTTGCTTCAGATGCAGGGCTGCAGTCGTCTCGCACTGTTGCTACATGTGGAGGGGATTCTGTCTGTGTCATCGACTGTGAGACTGGGAAGGTCCAGCACAAGTACAAATCTATGGGAGAGGTAAGTAAAGTTACTCGAAATTAGCAAACCAGACAAATGAGTATTTTCTATGTTTCTCTTGTCTTCTAAATGCACAGCAAATGTTTGATTGGAATGTAACAAATATTTGGGTAAATATCACTTTTTCCCTCTCCATAGAAGTAAGTTTTGCCTGTGTGAAAATATTAAAGGTTCCTTCAACTTTGGCACAGCTGAATGCAGCAGTCATATACTCTGCTTACACTACTGGGTCAAAGGTAGGGTATGATAAAACACACCCATCAGCAGTTATATCTTGCGCAATGCCACAGATTGCACAGTTCAAGGCTGTTGAAATTAACACGTGGAACAGTTTGCAGTTTAACAGTTGGGGTATTCCTATCAATAACTAATATTCAACTTCAAAGAATGTGATCCAACCTGAATTGACTGAAATTTAACTTTAACTGTCTGAAAAAACTCCTCCTAAATTCTCCTTTTGATCTTCCTGTGGCTGTCTTATAACTGTGTCCCCTACTTACTGACTCCCTATCAATGGAAATAACGTCTCTCTATTTACCCTATTTACTCCATTTTGTGGAGTCCTGTAGCTCAGTGGTTAGAGCACTCGCTTTGCAAGCGAGAGACCTGAGTTCAATTCCAGGCAGAGGGCGAAACCTTGGGCAAGTTTCCTTACTCCACACAGGGCCTAATAATAATCCCTCAAAAACCAAAAACAATAATAAATTGGTGAATTTCAATCTACGACTGTTTGTGGGACATTGCTGTGCGCAATTGGCTGCCGCGTTCGCCCACAAACATACAGTCAATTCACTTTACAGTGTGTTCTGTGAAGCGCTTTGGGACGTCCTCCCGACGTGAAAAGCGCTATATCAAATGTAAGGATTGTTGTTGTTGTTGTTGTTACCCTAACAAAACCCCTCATGGTTATAGTGTGAAGTGAATTGATGTATATTGTGAGCAAAATGTATAGAGAATGGTTGCTTTATTTTTGTATAACAGAGTAAGTAATGCAAGTTCTTATCTATTACTGTGAGCTGTGTCAATTTCTCTGATTTCAACATTACTTGCAAACTTTGGTGTTTCTGTATTTTTCTCAGGAGTTCTTCTCCTTGGCATGGACTACCTTGACTGTGGTTGACAAGGGTCATAGACGGAAACTCAACATCTTGGCTGTAGGCGGACGGAAAGGCGTAGTTAAATTGATTCACACAAGGGTGAATTACTGTTATGGACAGATAAAGGCCCATAAGAAGCCAATATCTACCCTTTGCTTCAACCCAAAGAGGGAGACCTTCCTCTTCAGTGAGCATTATGTTCTTTATTTCCTCCCCTCCCCACCCCAACAGTACGACAGAAGGTCTTTTAATGATGATTTGTTAGGATGAAACTTGTGAGAGCAACTTAGCATTCTACTCGTAACATGCTGATTTTAAGATTGTATGAATATCTTTTCTTCAACCAGCTGGGTCCTACGATGAAAGCATCATCTTGTGGGATATTGGTGTGCCAGACTGTGATTATAACTTCAAAGTCAGGTAAATATTTTATATATTTGCTTAGTAATCAGGAACAAACATTTTTAATCTTAACTCTCTGTCCAACCATTGTAATTTAAAGGGACACTCACTTCCTTTACAAAAAAAACTTTAGGATTATATTTTCTGATGCAAGTTTTTTAATGTAATTTTTATGAAGATAGTTGGCGGCCATTTAATTTTTGGAAGTAAGTAGGGAAAGTGATTCTGTGCTCATAGGGTGTAGGATGTTGTTTAAAAATGGAAGGTAAAGGATAGGAAAATAGGAACAGGAGGAGTCTATTCAGCCCTTCGAGTCTGTTCCACCATTCTATTAAATCATGGCTGATTTGTATCTCAACTCATTTATCCGCCTTGATACCCTTATCAGTCTTGAAAATTTGAATGGATCCAGCCATAATCCACAGCCTTTTGGGGGAGGGAGAGAGTTCCAGGTTTCCACTAGCCTTCGTGTGAAAAACTGCCTCCTGATTTCACTGCAGGATTACAGAAATGTAAAAGGTATTAAGGAAAAACATACAGACTCAAAACTATGTAACACTCCAATCTCTAGATCTCAGCAATAGGTTTAGAAACTGAAAAGGGTATGAAATAAATATCTGTTTGTGAACCACAGATTAAATGACCTAAAAGGTCAATAATAAATTTAGTATTCTATATTTTACACCAATGCAAACCTTAGCCTTGACACACTACAAAGGATTGTAGTAATCCCTGGGCTAACAGAAAGGATACATGTAATTACTTGATGGATGATAAACCATGGCACTATTCATAAAGAAAAGGAAGTTTCTCCTGTGTTCTGGCCAACAATCCTCCAGGTAAAATTAGTCACTCAACTTCATAGCTGTTTAAGAGACATTTCTTTGTGCAAATTGGCTGCCACGCTTACTACAAAATACAGTCACTATACTTCCCTGTGAAGTGCTTTGAGACTTTTCGATGTTATAGAAGAGTCTGGCTCCAAGGAAGACTGATGATATATGCTACTGAGTTTTCTTGCGTTTGAAATGCTCTGATTAATACCTGTTTCTCTTGTTGCAATAGTCAATTGCTGACTTTGAAAGTTTGTTCGACTCCGTTGAGGGTGAGCCTCGTCCCAACGTGTCCTGATCAGTATTTAGTGGCTGCGTCTGATAATGGCTGTTTTGCCTGGGATATAACGCTCTCAAAACGTGATGGCAAAAGGTGAGGGGTTTAGTTAAGAACATAAGAATTGCTCGATGAAAGAAGACCAAGGTCCATCCAGTTCACTTTCCACCATCCTGGCAGTCGCACACACATGTCATGTCCCGAACTATGTACTGTGTCCCGAGACGTTATTTCCTGTAAGAACTATATGGTTATTAATAGTGTACTAGGATTTAATTACATTCCTAAAGAAAGAGGTTCCTGTCTAGTGCTCTTCGAGGTGCTACCCCACGTGAAGAACACTATATAAACGTCAGTATTGGGTAGGGATTACCCACCCATCCCTTTCAAGTCACCCAATCCCAACCCATTGCTTGCAAAGTTTATCCACAAATGTCCAAGATTGACGAGAATAGGGAATCAGTGGCTCAATTTCTACCTAAGGACCAGTACATAGTGGGGGTCACATTATGCTCGGGGATTATGAAACGAGTACCAGACATGATGAATAAATAATGTGAAGTAAGTAACACAATGCTGCCTGCCTGTGCTACTGGAGATCAAGCAGCGAGGGTTACAGTGAGGATTTCAATGTGTTTTCTCTTTGTGCTTTAGACAAATCGAGATGGAGTTTGTGTTTCCAATTTATGAGGACGAAGATGCTGATGGTAACTTCCATATGGTTGATTCCTTGGCTTTCTGCAATCAAGATCTTGTGGGTGTGTGTCGAAGGGTTTATTATTATTATCATCAAAATACACAGTCAATTTGCTTCACAGTATATCCTGCAAAAAGCTAAGGAAAAGAATATGTTACTTCAGACGGTCATAATGCTGAAGTGCCAATTGTACTATTGGCCTGCTGCACAAGGCTACCTTCAAGTAACCATCTCATTCTCATGTAGCCTCCAAGAACTTGATGCAAGGATCAATCTATCTGTGGAGCTGGAGTCGAACGCTAAAAGCTCGGAGGAAACAAAGTAAGAAAGTGAATGCAGTGATTCTCTGGGAGATGGAGTGGTCCAAGACAGATGTGCCCTATATCTCCCTCTTTACCTGCCCAGGTGAGTACCACATTCACATCTGTGGATTGATGGAGTATTCTTGTCTGAGAGCTGAGGAGGATGGCAACCTTCTTGTCCATATTTACCTGAAGAAGGTCTAGGCTCAGCCAGAGCTTGGTCGTCAGCCTGGCGCAGTAGTAGCGCTCTCGCCTCTGAGTCAGAAGGTTGTGGGTTCAAGCACTACATCAGGACTTGGAATCACATAGTCTAAGCTGATGCTCCAATGCAGTGCTGGGGTGTGTTGCATTGCTAGAGGTGCTGCCCTTCAGATGACACGTTAAACTGAGATCCCGTCTGCCTGTTCATGTGGACATTAAAGATCCCACGGCACTATTCGAGAAAAAAGAAGGGAGTTTCTCCTGGTGTCCTGGCCAACATACCCCCCCCTCCCCCCCCAATAAAATTCGTCATTCACTCCATGGCTTTTGTGGGACGTTGCTGTGTGCAAATTGGCTGCCATGATCTCCCACAAAATGCACAGTCAATCCACTGGTCAGTAAATCCTGCAATATATGTATAATAATCCTTGCATTTGATATAGTGCCTTATCACGTCTTCAAGACGTCTCAAAGCGCTTCACAAAATATACCATAAAGGGAATTGACTATATTTTGTGGGCGAAACCCTGCAGCCAATTGCGCACAGCAGTGTCCCACAAACAGTCGTGGATTGAGTTGACCAAATTATTATTTTTTTAAATTTGGTATTGTATCACTTGTTGAATGGATGGTTTCTGCAGAGGAAAATCGTATCCTGTGTGGGGATGAGAAGGGGGATGTTTGGATGTATGAACTGCCTGAGTTCAGCAAGGAAGAGAAGACTTCTGGAACTAAGTTCTCACCAACACAGGTACATTACTCTCTTACTACATAACATCCAACAAGATGAGCAGTAATGCTATCTATCAGAATAATTTCTCTATTAATATACAGTACATTACATTGGTTCCTTGCAACAGTTTGTCCAAAAGCCTTGCCTGTGGTGGTATTACAGTACTTTCTGTGTCATTGAAATGAATTGCTGTTTCTTGTTCTCCTTTGCACAACCTTACTCTGGATCTGAAGCCAAACCACGTCCACGTGAATGTGGTCCACAGGAAATGCTCTGAGGATCTTTTCCAAAAGGAAATCACCTCGTCCCATGGCAGGCACTGCTGCAACATTTCTCACGGTGTGAAGTGGCCTGAAGTTCCCTCTTGTATTTTTTTCCCGACTTGTTGCCATTGGTTACATTCCCATTGTTCCCAGTCGTGTCTGAAAGATGTGAGACACTGAGTCTGTGTTCAGCTGCGGCTAAGATCAGTCGTCCTAGTGTAGCTGGAATATCAAGAATAATCCTTGCATTTGATATAGCGCCTTATCACATCTTCGAGACGTCTCAAAGCGCTTCGCAGAAAATTCTATAAAGTGAATTGACTGTGTATACTGTGGGCGAAACACGGCAGCCAATTGCGCATAACAGTGTCCCACAAACAGTAGTGGATTGGGTGACCAAATTATTATTATTTTTTTAAAAGGGATTATTAATAGCATTAAATTATATATTGATTTTCCAAAGTATAATTGGAATTGAAGTAGACTCGTGTAATGTTAATCGATACAATTGTACAATTAATCTTTCCATTTATCCATATAATAATTTGGGACGCCAGTTCATTATTCTGTTCACCTCGGACCTCGACTCTTAACAAGGTCAAGCAATGGCATTAAGTTGACAAAAACAGCACTGTTTAAAAGTAGAGTGTAATCAACTGGAGCTTTAGATTGAGGAAGTACTTTTGCTGAGGAACAACAAAGAAGTTTGTACATTGCTCAACGCTGGTCTTAATGTGCAGATGCAATCATTTATTCCACTGCTGAAAAAGAGAAGTTGACATTTTTATTTACAATCAATTCTTCACGGGGACAGGAATAGAAATTGGCCCATTGAGCCTGTTGTGAATAATGTGATAACATCTACACAGAGGTTTGTGCGGGAGCAGATTTTAGAGAGGAGCGGATAATCTGTTTTCCCGAATAACGGGGCGAAACCTTAGACAAGTTTCCTTAATCCACACGTCACTGTTTACCCAGCAGTAAGTATGAACTCAGTTAGTGGATTACTTTCCAGTGGGTAATAACCCCTTCCAAAAACTAAATAAATAATTTGTATGGTTTTGCCTCTGGCCTATCAAAGGAACGGTGGGAAGCTGAAGCTTTTGTGTAAGGCATCAGGGTGATTGTGCATCCGAATGTGGCTGCCCTCATCACACTGTACCTGGGAACCAGAGCAGCTGTGTTGGTAAATTGCCAAACCGGGAAGGTTGCTTTGCTCACCTGGTTAGATTCTCGTTCTTGTATTTCTCTCCCAGATTCTGCAATGGCCGGCTGTGAGGGTACAAGGGAACATAATCGAAGGCAGCTTGATAAACAGTGTGACCACAGACCCAGGATTTAGGTACCTGATAGCAATAACGGACAAGAACATTATCGCCATTTGGAAAAGAACATGATCAGCCAAAAGAACCGAGCATCACCAGTTCTGTAGGAGGCTAATCGGACACCTTGACTACAGAAGGATCAATCTGATCATATCTGGTATTGGAGTGCCTTATGATCTTGCATCAGAATGTCTTCATCAAAAGAAATGTACCTTTTTAAAAACGTTCAGCTAAAAGGTTTGTTAAATGACTAATAATAATGATTCTTGCATTTGATATAGCGCCTTATCACAATTTTGAGACATCTCAAAACGCTCCACAGTATATACTGTAAAGTGAATTGACTTTTTTTCTGGGCGAAACGGAGTCTGGAGGAAGTACACTCACTCAACACATTAACAATTTGATAAACAAAGTTCTCTGGTTTGCTTGAAAAATGCAGTGTGTGTGTAATCATTCACCGGAGGGTGGGGTGGGGGCGAGACTCAGTTTGTCGTATTCTGAGACAAATAAACAAATCCTGTTAGCCATTGGTGGAGACTTTTCCAGCTGCAAGTGTACAGTATCTGCTGCAGCTCTGATTTGGACAATTTTTTAAACTTTTAAGATGTTCTTTGCAGCAATTTCAAGGAAAGTGTTTAATAAGAATGTCTGGATTTAACTTTATCCTGTTTAGTTTGACCAACATCACGGGCTGGCAGGGGAGTTTAGTTAGAAGACTAGTTGTTTTTTAAAAAAAATTATAGTGCACGTGAAAAGAATGGGGGGAAAAAAATTGTGCTTAATGTTGTTTTTCAGCTGCTGACAAGAGACTTTTGTAACTTAAATACAAATTTTTGATGGGGATTGCTGTATTATTATTACTAGTCATTTTCCTCGTGGCTGTTTGTGGGGCTGTTTGCTGTGCACAAAATGGCTACTGGGTTGACCACAAAACAGCAGTCACTACGGCTGACAATGATCACTCAGAAGTGCTTTTGAGATTTTTTTTGGCCTACAACATGACATGAAAGCTGCTGTACAAATACAATTTGTTGTTGTGTAAACACGGCATCACTATCAGACCGGTCGGTCATTATCCTTTCTGTGCCGTTTGAGAAATGAACGTTAAACGTGAATCTGTACGTTCCTTTATTTTCCAATTGTCATGTCTGAAATGTTTTTCTTTTTGTTCTGTACATTACCATAAATGCCACGAGTGATCGTCACCATCCTTTTGCCTCGTCCTAAAGTTTCAGAAGTGAAACATTTAAGCCATCTCTTTTGTGTTATTCTTTTCTACAATATATAAATTGAAAATGGTCAACTTTCTATGGTTTGGGCATTAATATACATTGTACATTGGGTTACAAATCACTTGGTATGTGTTCAGTTTTTTATAAGTATATATGTGTGTGTGTGTTTTTTTTAAAAATGTACAGTTTTAACTTTACTTCTAGAAAGAAAATAACTTGGAGAAGGATATACGGGGTGACCAAAATGTCTTATTTTTCAGCTACCCTATGGTTAAAAAAATATATAATTTCTCCTGAGTATCACGACTTTTTGGTCATCCTGTATTTCCTGTGCAATTGGGACACACACACACACAGGAACGACTATTATTACTATAACTGATGCACAGCAAAAACTGATGAGGGGGAAAAAAAAAGAGGTTAAACATTTGACAGCGACTCCTATCATTCCCCAACATCCTTTGTGTATGTGTGTGGTTTGTGTGTGTGTGTGTGTATTTTTTAAAAAAAAAACAGATTTAAATGATGCTTCTTGGAATTATTAAGAATTATTTAAATAAAGGGGGAGTTGGGGGGAGGAGGAGGAGGAGAATCTTCTTTTATATATCAAAAATAAAAAGTTTGGTGTTTTTAAAAAAAAAGGAAAAGGCGCCTCAAACAAATCCGGTGGACAGGGACAGGGCTTTGTGTTTTATTTCTGTCGTGTGTGTGAGTGTGTGTGTGTGAGTGTGAGTTTGTTCTCAGCGAAACACACAGTGAAAAGAGAAAGAGAGGAGAGAGAGAGAGAGAGAGAGTCCAATTGGCTTTGGGTGACGTCTCCGAGACTCGGGGGCAGTCGGTTACCCACTGCTGCACAGTCTGATTGGTGCTGAGCTGATGTGATGGTGAAGGAGCCGCAGCCAAAGAGGAGCAGAACAGGAGCCGCAGGAACCCGGAGCACAGCTCCAGACACTGGGACAGCCATAGCCACAGCCACAGCCACACACTGACCCGCTCTGTGCTGAGAGCAGCAGTGGGGCCACCACCGGCCCCACCGTCAGCCCCACACCGGCCCCACCGTCAGCCCCACACCCGCCTCAGCTCAGCACTCAGCCATCAGCTGTTTCCATGATGGTGCTCAGACACGGTCCGGGTTGGTGGGATCTCCCTCATGGCCCAAACTACCTGGAAAGCCATCGTCTCGGCTTCTTCTTAACGGACTAAAGAGACAGAGCGACAGAGAAGAGAGAAGAGAGAGAGAGAGAGAACGACACAGAGAGAGAAACAACAGCAGCAAAAACAATCACACACACAGCAACTGAGGACAGCGGCCATCAACAGCCCAGGATCACCCCCAACAACCCCACCCCCCACCAACCAACCCCCACACCAACCCCCAACAACCAACCCCCCACCAACCAACCCCCACCCCCCACCAACCCCACCCCAACCCCACCCAACCCCCACCAACCAACCCCCACCCCCACCCAACCCCCCACCAACCAACCCCCACCCCCCACCAACCAACCCCCACCCCAACCCCCCAACAACCAACCCCCACCCCCACCAACCCCACCCCAACCCCCACCAACCAACCCCCACCCAACCCCCCACCAACCCCCACCCCAACCCCCCAACAACCCCAACCCCCCCCCAACAACCCCACCCCCCCAACAACCAACCCCCACCCCAACCCCCCCACCAACCAACCCCCACCCCAACCCCACACCAATCCCCCAACAACCACCCCACCCAACCCCCCACCACCCCCAACAACCAACCCCCACCCCAACCCCACACCAACCCCCCAACAACCAACCCCCACCCCAACCCCCAACAACCCCCCAACAACCAACCCCCACCCCAACCCCACACCAACCCCCAACAAACAACCCCCCACCAACCCACCCCAACCCCCCACCAACCAACCCCCCCAACCCCACACCAACCCCACCCCAACCCCCCACCAACCAACCCCCACCCCAACCCCCCACCAACCCCACCCCAACCCCCCAACAACCCCAACCCCCCCCAACAACCCCACCCCCCAACAACCAACCCCCACCCCAACCCCCCACCAACCAACCCCCACCCCAACCCCACACCAATCCCCCAACAACCAACCCCCACCCAACCCCCCACCAACCCCCAACAACCAACCCCCACCCCAACCCCACACCAACCCCCAACAACCACCCCCACCCCAACCCCCCAACAACCCCCCAACAACCAACCCCCACCCCAACCCCACACCAACCCCCCAACAAACAACCCCCCACCAACCCACCCCAACCCCCACCAACCAACCCCCCAACCCCACACCAACCCCCACCCCAACCCCCCACCAACCAACCCCCCAACCCCCACCCCAACCCCCCTAACAACCCTCCCCCCCAACCCCACACAAACCCGGGGGGGGAGGATGATGGCCATCGTGCCCAGAGGTCGGGCTCCCATGGTGGCCGTGTTGTGTGGAGGCTCCAGACTGTGTGGCTTCAAGGTGTTGGCATTGCCTGCGGTGGTCCAGGCGGTGCCCCAGACTGGGACCTCACTGCCCCCCCAGCGATGGAGATCCTCCACCTCCTCCATGACGGGCTATTCCGAGTTGGCCAGAGAGAGGTCCAAGACAGTCACCTCTTTCTACAACCAATCTGCCATAGACGCAGCAGCAGAAAAGGTCGAGGAAATTGTCAGTTTTGTTTTGTCTTTCTGCCCTCTCAGCTGAGATGTTTGTGTCTGTGCTCTGTGTGTGTTTAAGTCACTGGGGACCCAGACAGGTTTCCTGTGGTGGTGGTTTTTTTTGTTTCAATGTTTACACAGTATTTTCTGTCTTTCTCAGTTAAACACCCACTAACCAACCGTAATACAGTCAATTAATTCACTCTCCCGGTCCAGCCCGTGAGGAGCTTTGAGACATCTCGAAGACGTGCTGTGGCGCTACATCAAAATGCGAGGATTGTGGTTATTATTGTTATTTAAACAAAGCTGGAAATGGCATCGGGAGGGAACTGAACCCAACATAAAAGGCGCTTTTGTATTTTTTATTGTGAGGGTTTGCAGTTGTTTGAAATGAAAATGATTACATCACAGGTAAGCACTTGTGTGGGGGGAGAGGGAGCGCACAGTACAATAAGGAGACATTGTGGAAACGGTTCTAAATTATTTCAGTATTGTTTTTTGTAAACTGGAAAACCATCCCTCTCGCGATAATCTTATAAATTCTTCTGTATAAATGTAATAAATAAGGTTTTGCAGTGCACGCGGAGGCCTGCGGGGTAGTGGGTAGAGCTCTCGCCTCGCAAGCGAGAGGACCTGGGTTCCAATCCCGGCCGGGGAGAGTTACGTTACTCCGCGCGCCTCTGTTTACCAGCAGCAAGTAGGAACCCGGTGGTTAGTCGATCGGTGCATCTCTTTTCCGGGGGTAATAATCCCTTCAAAATAAATAATTTGGCCACTCAATCCACGATTGCTTGTGGGACGCTGCTCCGCGCGATTGGCTGCCGTGTTTCGCCCACAAAACATACAGTCAATTTGTAAAATCTGAGTAAAGAGGTCCCGGACCTTGTAACTGAAACATCGCCCCTCCCGCAGCCCGTTTTATTCATAGATTATTATTTTCAAATTGGGAAATAGTAGGGGATGGTTGCCTGCCCGAATGTAATGAAGTCCTACTGCGCCCTGAAATCTTAATATTTCTTTGAAATCGTCCAGCCCAGACTCTGATAGTCTGTCCTGTTGGAGGAGACTGCGTTCGTCGGTCAACTTTGTTTACTCTTAAGGATCCATCCTTTTACCGGCTGCATTGAGCTCTGCCGTGTTTGCATTCAGTCCTGTCCGCTTGGTATCTTTAATCCATTTTTTAAAAAAATCCTTTTATCTTTCATTCCTTTTTGCCCCCCACCCCCAAAAAAAAGTCTGTGTCTGAATAACAAGCATCTGATATTCTCAGAAGAAATGAGTGAGACCATGTTATAATAATAATAATCCTTGCATTTGTTCCTTCGTTCCCCTGGGTCTGGCCTCCTCCTCATCCCCCGAGTCCTCCGCTCCACCCTCGGCGGCCGTGCCTTCAGCCAATATGCCGCGAGGCTCTGGAACTCCCTTCCTCACTCCCTTCGTCTCGCTCCCTCCCTTCCCATTTTCAGGTCTCTGCTAAAGACCTTTCTTTTCGACCGCACCTTTGGTCACCTTCACCCCCCTCCCCTTCCCCGTCCCCCTGGCTCAGCCCCGGGATCCGTTACTGTGAAGCTCTGAGGCGCCGTCAGGTGTGGAGGGCACTAACAACTGAGTTGTTGTTGATACAGTGCCTTATCACGTCTTTGAGACGTCTCAAAGCGCTTCATAGAGTATACTGTAAAGTGAATTGACTATTTATGTCAGTGTGGATCTAGGTTCAGGTTAATGACTTGGTACAGATATAAAGAGACTCAAACACGATGGAAAACTGGGTAAAACAGAGTTGGTGATCTGACTATGGTTTCTAAACCAATAAAGGAATGTCTCTTCCCTCCAGTTGTGAATACAGAGCAGGGGGCTGCGATCTTAAAAATTAATGTTAAACTAGTTAAAACTTAAACAAGAAAATATTTCTTTACACAAGGCTTGTGGGAAAGTGGAGTCGGAAAGTGTCCCAAGAGGTTTGACGTTTACAAGTTTATGTGAAGTTTTTAAGAGGTGGGTAAATAGGTACGTGTGAAGGAATGGATATAAAGGCAGCACTCTAGGAGGTTAGAAAGAAAGAGTTTGCACTTTTAATGGATCGTATAATGCGAGGGTTCAGGCTGCCCTGCAGTAATTGTGGTCCCATGTGGAGGTAGTCATTTTGCCCGTCACTGAGTCCCACAACTGGGCCATGAGATCAGTCACCAATTGCAACTGGAGAATTGTTGGCTGAAGCGTGCTGCCATGAACTAATAACCTAGTTGTTGATGGGAATGATAAATAATAATCCTTGACCTAATATAACATCTTATCCCATCGTTGAGACCCCTAAAATTGCTTCGGAGCATTTTATTCTGCTCGAGTCCCTCTGCCTTACCCCCTCTTTTTCTGTCTTCAGATCGCAACTGAAGACTTATCTCTTTGACCGAACCTATGTCCATCTTTCCTTTCTCTGAAGCTTGGTGACAAACTACGTACTTGTTCAGACCTACAAGGCACCAAGTACTCTGCTTGAAGGGCCCTATAGAAATGCAAGTTGTTGTGAAGTGTAGTAACTGTGTATTTGTAGACGGATGTGGTCGCCACTTTACACACAGCAATGTCCCAGAAACAGCCGTAAAGTGAATGACCATTAATGAACAACAACAAATTGTATTATAGAGTGCCTTTCACATCAGGAGGATGTCGCTGATTATTATTATGCTTCTTAATATTGGTTCTGGTGAGAGGGATGTTTCACTGAGAGAGGGTGTGGACCAGGAAATGCATGGTTTGACTTCTCTGTTTGTATTTTTCAGCCGTCTGTCCGTCTGACGCCCACCACCATGCTGTATTCAGGGAAAACCCCAGATGGGTCTCATGTTCTGGTAAGCCCACTTAAATGTAGTCTCACTAACACTCAATCATAGGTTATTGTGGATCATGGGAGTCCTGTAGCTCAGTGGAAAGAGCGCTCGCCTCGCAAGCGAGAGGACCTGGGTTCGATTCCCAGTCAGGGCGAAGCCTTAGGCAAGTTTCCTTACTCCACACGCCTCTGTTTACCTATCAGTAAGCAGTTACCTGGTTGTTAGTCGATTGTTGGATCGCTTTCTGGGGGTAATCATCCCTTTTTTTAAAAAAAATTGATCACTCAATCCCTGATTGTTTGTGGGACGCTGCTGTGCACAATTGGCTGCCGCGTTTTGCCCACAAAACATACAGTCAATTCACTTTACAGTATATCCTATGCTTTGAGACGTCTCGAAGACGTGATGAGGTGCTGTATCGAATGAAGGCTTACGGAACCAAAAGAGCCTTGGGTTCGGGCTCTGCATTATTGTGCAGTGACCCCTATTCTAGAGGTTGGTCCCAACATTTGGGTGCTAGTGTTAAAGCTTTCTGAGACGCTGGATAAGTGCAAGTTGTCGTCGTTGTTGTTGACTGATATGCTAGCACAGGACACGGCCTTGAGGACGTAGGTCTGTGGTGGTTCACCCTGAGTATTTTTGACTTCACAGAGCAGTGCCCGGTATCTCTATAATGAATTGCCGGTCCGTATCGCCCACCGCATTAAGGGATTCAGAAGCCTTCCTTTCATCATCGGCTGCAATCCCACTATCCTACAGGTGGTGAGTACAAACTACAATTTGAGAAACCAGGGCACATGTGGCAGAATCCTGAGGAAGCTCACGGCAACTTTCCTCCCTCCAGTTACCCCCTGTGCTCATTTATATCCTAATAATCCCTGTTTGAAAAGTGAAGAGTTTCTCCTGGCATCCTGGCCAATAATCCTGACCCCAGATAAAATCCCTTCCTGGCTGTTTGTGCGACGTTTCTGCGTGCAAATTGGCTGCCACGTTTGCCTATCATTACATAAGTCACTGCACTTTACAGTAAAATTCCTGTGAAGCACTTCGGGTGGTTTGATGGTATGACAAGCCGCTGTATCAAGCGGAAGGATTATTGTCATAAATCGGTTCCGTGTGGCCTGGAGGCTTTGGGAGCTGTGGAAGTTACCTGCTGCACATTCCACAGCAACAAAACAAGCCCTGATTCGCAGCATTTTGTCTGGCTGCCAGACCTTTCCCTTTGGAGTCCTGTAGCTCAGTGGTTAGAGCACTTGCCTTGCAAGCGAGAGGACCTGGGTTTGATTCCCGGGCAGGGTGAATCGTTAGGTGAGTTTCCTAACTCCACAAGCCTCTGTTTACCGAGCAGTAACTAGGCTGAGATCCCATGAGCGAAGATCAGGTGGAATTTCATCACCTCCCACCATGACTTCAAGGGGAAATGGAAACGGGTCTTGTTTACTGCAATTAAACGTACCCGATTTTTAAAAAAAAACACAGAGTAACCCAAGCAAACATGGAAGCTGAATATATAAATTACAGGAAACGTCAGTGAGCTTCACAAACAACGACCCTTCACCCAGTTCATTTTCTTGCAACCTGTTGGCTGTGAGGGAGCGGAGCGTGTGATGGGGAGAGGGCTCAGTGAGCTGACAGTTTGTGAGATTCGCTTTGTTAATTTAATTTTTTTTCTTTCTTTTCAGCACGAACTGTACATCAGGGCATTTCAGATGCTGTCAGAATTCCCAACCGTGAGTACAGTCCAGCTGCGTCCTTTGTTCCTTTTCTCGAGTGATCATAATAATAATAATCCTTGCATTTGATGTAGCTCCTCATCACGTCTTCGAGACGTCTATTGACTATGTTTTGAGGGCAAAAAATGACCGCCAATTGCGCACAGCAGCGTCTCACAAACAGTCGTGGATTGAGTGACCAATCCCCAGGGGCGGGGAGCAGGGAGTTGGCTGGAGGTGGGGGCGGCGTGGTGGAGGTTATCGGCGGGGCTGTGGGGTTTGAGGGAGGGGCGATGGGAGATGTGGGGGGATGTGGAGGGGGCGATGGAGGACTAAACTATTAAGTTATTGTGTGAAGACGATGGCCATGTGGTCACGGGAACCTTTAACCTTTCCCCTCACGCCTGTTTGGAGAAGCCACACTGACCCTTGTCCCCCCACCCCGCCCGCCTGCCCCCCCCCCCACCCCACAGATCACGGACATGAAGACGGAGGCTCAATATTGCAAGATGATTCGCCAACTGCTGGATGATCACAAGGACATCGTCACCATGTTGGCCGAGGGCTTCCGGGAATGTCGCAAACACATCCAGGTAAAGCAGCCAAACACTATCTGCCTGAATCATGTCCCTTAAACGGCCAAGTCATCGCAGTGACAAGCAAAGTTCAATAGGGACACTGGGTTTATTGCCAAAGCCATCTAATCTCGCCCCTTGCTCCCCCCCCCCACCCCCGATCGCAGCAGTAAGACCAATTTATCTACAAATACACAAAACTGGTCATTCCCTTCATGGTTGTTTGCGGGACATTACTGTGTGCAAATTGGTTGCCGTGTTCGCTGACCAATACAGTCACTGCATGAAGGAGGGAGGGGGAGGAGCAGGAGAGAGGGACCAAGAGAGAGAGACTGAGATCGAGAGAGAGGGGGGCAAGAGAGAGAGATCGGGGTGGGGGGGGGGGGGGGGGGGCGGCAAGAGAGGGAGTCAAGTGGCGGGTGGGAGTAAGAGGCTGGATTCAGGATCCTTGCCACCCAGCGTGGAGAATGGCCTTGGAAATAATTATTCCCCCGCCCCCCCCCCCCCCCCCCCCACCCCATACTCCCTCTCTCCCAGTTTGTGATGTATGTGACGAAAGCCTGAGATCAGACACTGACTAACGGTGTATTTTCTGTCTGTCGCACTTCCTATACAAAGAGTCTTTCCGTTTTCAGGATGAGTCTCTTGTCCGCCTTTTCCTGGACAACACCCTGACCTCACGGCTGGGAATCCGCATGTTGGCCACACACCACCTGACGCTACACGAGGACAATGTAAGTACATAACACTCGCTCGGTGGGTCAGTGTGTGACAGGCAGGGGAGCCCAACAGTCGCTATAGATCACTACAAAATAAATAATAATCCTTGCATTTGATGTAGCGCCTGATCACGTCTTCGAGACGTCTCAAAGCGCTTCACAGAATATACTGTAAAGTGAATTGACTGTATATTTTTGTGGGCGAAACGCGGCAGCCAATGGCGCACAGCAGCGTCCCGCAATCAGTCAGACATTGAGGAACCAAAATATTATTAGTATTTATTTATTTTGAAAGGATTATTATCCCCGGAAAAGCGACCCGTCAATCGACTAACAACCAGGTTCCTATTTACTGCGGTAAACAGAGGCGTGTGGAGTAATGAAACTTGCCTAAGGTTTCTCCCTGCCTCGGAATCAAACCCAGGTCTTCTCGCTTGCGAGGCGAATGCGCTACAGGACTGCACTAGGGAGAGATTCGGAGGAAGAAGGTCCTTTGGCCCATTTAATCTCATCCTTCCAGAATACTCATCCGGCCACCCCCCCCACCCCCCCAATCCTCCTCTTGCAGCATTAAGCTGTTTCTTAAATGAATCCTTCTATTTTACTTCCAGTGTTCGGTAACTTACTGTATATCAATATCTTACTCAATATCTGTATTGAACTTCACTTGCCCAGAAATCCAGGCCTCACTTATCTTTTGCTCTTTCAGCAAAGCCTGACTTTGACTTGCATTTGATGGCCATATTGGGACGAGTTGACTTGCTGTGAAAGCTGAATTTAGGAGTTAAATCCAAATATGGCTGAAGTTAATGACCCAATGTTAATTCAGCTGCTACCTGTTCTCACATATCTCCCAGCAGACAGTTTTGAAGCACAATTGGCAGGATTCGTAGCGTCAGACTTTCCGAGAACAGAACTGGGAACTGCAACATAGTCTTAAAATACCCACCAGCCTCACGTAAACAGCTCCTGCTGTAGTGGGTATTCTGTCTGGGTGGATAAGATCAAATGGGCTGAAGGGCCTTCTTCATCCAACCCTCTCTTGTTATTCTCATAATAATACAATATTGATAATAATCCTTGACTGGAGGTTTGGGGACACAGGCGCCTCTGCAGCGAGAACAACAACAACAACAACTTGCTTTTACATAGCACCCCTCTCATGCAGGGTAGCGTCCCAGAGCGCTTGGAGGCAAGTTACTAAAAAGGAAAGGGAGTAGCAGTGAAGCCAGCAGGCACGGTGTTTGTTTTGCAGGATCACACTGCCTCACTACTGCTAAGGGTTAAACAAACATTACACTATCTCTCGGAGTGACTCCATTTGGATAATGTACCGTGTGCTGATAACATCCCTAAGTAAATTTCTGTCCACATCAATAAGATTATAGCAACAAACACTGACTGGGTTGTACTGGCTGGGGATGGGAGTGAGATAGTGAGAGTCTGAAGTTCAGCTTCTTATACAAGGCCAGTACTGAGCTGTGTAATCATGAGAATGTGATTATGGTCTGTAAGATTCAGAAGGGACTAGATAACGTAGAGCATGATAAGCTGTTTTATCTTGTCCTGAATAGTCAACCAGAGGACACGGCCTGCGATTGAAGGGAGTAAATTCAGAACAAATCTGCGGAAACACTACTTCAGTGAGCGAGCAGTAAACACAGGGAACAGACTCCCTCGGGAGTCAGATGGTGGAAGCAGAAAATGTTGTTTGTTTCAAGAACAAATCAGATAGATTTCTGCTAGAAAATAATATCTGGGGATACAGTATATAGAAAATTGTAATGTGAGTGCAAGCAAGCCTGGAATTACAATTGGGGCCGTGTGAGATATCCTGACCCTACCCTTCTACCCTCTCATGTCTCAGCTCAAGCCTCAATCTGACTTTCGTTCCTAAATATTTTCTTAAACTCAGTTGATTTGTTTCTTTCTGCAGCCAGACTTTGTAGGAATTATCTGCACGAGACTCTCTCCGAAGAGGATCATTGAGAAATGGGTTGATTTTGCCGGGTGAGTGTCTCTCCCCCTGCGCCCCCCACCACCCCCACTGTTGTCTCTGTTGCCCTATGCATGTCTGGCTCTGGAATTCATCAGCTACACCAATTCCTGTAATGTTGCGTTAAGTAGATTTAATGTGGGTTCTGTTAAGATGAACAGGGGGTCAGGCAGCGTAGTGTCTTTGGCAGTGAAGCCTGATTCCGTGCTGTCTGCCTTGTGAAGGGCAGATTGAGGCTGACATTCCTCTCAGCGCTGGCTGTGCGTTTCACAGCTGTTAATAATAAACACTGGTGTGAGGGGGGCAGGGTCATTTGCTGTCCCACACACAATTACTGTGTCTTTAATTAATTAATCAAACAATTCATTAGTTGTTCAGCCACGACTCCCTGAAACTCTGGAACACTCTCCCTCGATCCCTCCACCTTCACCCCCAACTTCAGGTCAGGCCTGAAGACCTTCCTCTTGGACCTACAGCGTCTACAGTCACCTCCCCCGACTCGGCATCGCGCTTCACCACTGTCAAGCCCTCGGGGATGTTATCCTGTGTGTGGGGGGGCTATAAGTGCAAGTAGTTGTTGTTGTTGAGGGAACATGGTCTTCTCCGCCTTGACGTGAAGATTAAGCTGAACAAGCCTCGTACAGAAGCTGAGCGTAAGGAGAAACTCTTTCCCTTTATAACGTCTCTGACCAAAGTGTCTGTGTCTCCCCCGCAGGCGGCTGTGTGAGCATCAGTATGGGAACTGCCCTCGGGTGCGGATCAACGGACACGTGGCAGCCAGGTATCCCTTCATCCCCATGCCCCTGGACTACATCCTGCCTGAGCTACTGAAGAACGCGATGAGGTGAATACATTATACATTAGAACATACAGCACAGAAACCGGCCATTCGGCCCAACTGGTCTGTGCCGGTGTTTATGCTCCACATGAGCCTCCTCCTGCCTTCCTCAACTAAGCCTTCAAGCATAACCTTCTATTCCTTTCTCCCTCATGTACCTCTCCAGCTTCCCCTTAAATACATCTATGCTGTTTGCTTCAACAACTCCTTGTGGTAGCAGGTTTTTTTTAAAAAAAAGAACCATCTCTCAGGTTCTTTTCACACCAACAACAACAACAATTCCAACAATAATAATAATCCTTGCATTTGATATAGCGCCTTATCACATCTTCGAGACATCTCAAAGCGCTTCACAGGAGATACTGTAAAGTGAATTGACTGTATTTTGTGGGCCAAACGTGGCAACCAATTGCGCACAGCAGCGTCCCACAAACAGTCGTGGATTGAGTGACCATATTGTTTTTTTGGAGTGATTATTACCCCCAGAAAATAATCTGCCAATCAACTAACAACCAGGTTCCTACTTGCAGCTAGGCAAACAGAGGCGTAGGGAGTAAGGAAACTTGCCTAAGGTTTCACAGTTACTTTCACGTAGGGAGGATATCCCAAGGGACTGGACAGTCAAGCATTTGCACCCCAATAGAGCAAACCATAACAATATGAACGATAGTAAACCTAAGGTAGCCGGGAGCAGGTCTCATTGGAGGAACTTCACACACACACACACACAAGCATTAAAGGTAACTGAAAGCAATTGGGTTGCGTGACCTGCGCTGCCGTTGTGTTTAATACATGAGCTAAAGATAAGGTGTTGGGTGGTAGGAGGAGAGACAACTGTGTAGAGGACGAGTGAAGAGCAACAGCATCGCTGGCTGCTCTCAATGGGTCGATATTTATAAACTTAAAACATTGTTCAGGTAGGAGTCAGACTGAGGAGGCCTGAGAGTCAGCTGCCAGCCTGATGGAGGGACTGCACATCAGATGGAGATGGTCCTGATTTTGGAAGTCAGGTCTTCGTCCTGGTTTAGTTTGACCTCACCGAGGGTTTGTTAGATATCTCTGTATTAATATTAACTCTTATGAACGGTTGAAATAATAATGATAATGATATAATAATAATCTTTGCATTCTAACATAGTGCCTTATTGCTTCTTCTAGACGTTTCAAAGCGCTTGTCCAAGGATAAGATCCAGCTGTTTGTAAAGCTTTTAGCTGACACACTGTTTCACAGAAATGAATGGTAATATTCAGTAGGGAAGCCATTCCAACGTAAAGGGTGATTTATAAGCATAATATTAACTTCAGACTTGGTTTCTGGGGACGGTTTCTGTGAGCTGCACAATGTTATATAATTTCCCCCTTTTGCACTGTAGAGTAACTACAATAATAAGATTCAGAATTGCAGTTTGTTTGTTGCTGGAGGATTACTATTACATGAGAAAGCCACTTATGTAACTACCTCAGTAAGCTGGATAAAGGCCAGAGGCAGTGACTTGTGCTGTTAACTTAACGTGGGAAGCTTTATTCCCATTGTTTCTGTTCCAGTGTTGTGCAGGCGAGAAAGAGAGACAGCCATTTAGCTATTAAATCAATGCCCTCGATCTCAGCAGTCATCTCTCTCCTCAGGGTCATGTTCCTGTACACAATAAACTTTGAATAGCTAGCGGAGGGTGTTAAAAGCTCCCAGGTTGCCCTTGAGTTTGGCTGACAGTGATGGCACTGTGCAGGCTCAACTTTTTTTTAGAAAAAATTGTTTTGGAACAAGTGGTTAGACCAGCGGAGTGTAAGCTGATCAGTGTTTATCAGTGCAGGAAACAGCTGTTTGCCAGATACAGCACTCGCCCCTCCCTGTCCTGTACTGAATGTACTTGGCAAAGGAGACCGACCGGTCTGCTGACAGAAACTCGTTCCCAAAGCGTGGAGACAAAGTCGCTTTGGAGAGATATTTTCTGTGTTTTTCTAAATCTATTATTGCCGCAAGAGGGGGAAGGATTGAGAGGCACAGATCTGAGCGGAAACTCCCGTCCACTTCACAGGCACCAGTTAGTTTAGTATAATAATAATTGCATTTGACACAGCGCCTTATCACATCTTCAATACGACACAAAGCGCATCACAGAATAGACTGTAAAGTGAATTAGCTGTATATTTTGTTGGCGAAACGCGGCAGCCAATTGCGCACAGCAGCGTCCCCACAAACAATCTTGGGTTGCGGGTATTCTGGAAGGTAAGGGTAGGGGTTTCTTTCCTAACCAGTCCTGTTGTGAAGATTGTGATGGGAGTGGAATGATTTGCTGAGGGGAAGAGAGAGAGAATCAACTGAGGCAGAATCCAAGAGTATTAGAGTTTCCTGGAAAAGAGCAGGAAATGGGAACCAGAGCAGATGGGTCCTTCGAGGAGCGAACGTCAATAGAAAGAAAAGGCTCTACTTGTGCCAAACAGATCTGTGGATATGGGCCAAATGGAATCCTCTTGTGCTGAGCATTTCTGTGGAAAATCATAGAGTTGACACTGAACAGCTTGTGATAGGCATAAACGCCAGATTTAGCTCGTCTGGTAATCCTCATTCTTGCTTAAGTTTTTCCGTTATTGTCCTCGTGTGACCCGTTCTTCTAGAGGGTTCTTCTAGAGAACCCTCTCGTAGGATTTTACACCGCAGAAGGAGGCCTTTCGGCCCATCGTTCCTGCTGTTTGAAAGAGCTACCAATACGTCCCACCCCCCAGCTCTTACACTTTAGCCTTGCAAATTCTTCTTTTAAGTACCTATCTAATTCCATTTTGAAAACTACTAACAAATGTCTTACAGACAATAACAACTTTGTATGTATATACTGGGGACCTCGCATCTGCGTTATGTATGCGTGTCATTCAGTTAACTTTGGTAAACAACTTTCCTAGCTCATGCTCATGCCCTGGGTGGAGCCTGGGATTAGTTTGACTTGTGTTTGACTCACTGCCAGTTGTCTCTTCCCCTGTTCACGTTCTCAGTAGCTGATGGAAAAGATTGGAATGTTCTCAGTCTCATAAAATTCAGTCCATCCCAGACAATGTTACAGCACAGAAACAGGCCATTGGGCCGGTCAGCTCCGTGCTGCTGTATCTCTCCATGGTCTAATATCACTCCCTTGCTCATCCGTCCCCCCCCGCCCTCTGCCTACACGATTGGAAGCAGTTTTCTAAGTGTCTGGCCTCAATGCCGCTTGACCTTCTCTCAGTGACCGCTGACCTCTATATGTTGTTCTCTCTGCCCACAGGGCTACGATGGAGAGTCACCTGGACACACCCTATAATGTGCCGGATGTCGTAGTAACGATTGCCAACAACAATATCGATTTCATTATCAGGTAAACAACCAACCAATCTCAGTTACAGCAGCTTGTAAAATGCTGTGAGACATTTAACATGAATAAGGTTATGGAAATGCAAGTTCTTTATCTCTCTTGTATCTCATTGCATCAAAACAAACGCTGTGTCTGGATTGTGTGTATGTAGTGTTGGTCTGTGTGTGTATGTGGTGGTGGTGTGTGTACGTGTGTGTGTGATGTGGGGAGGGTGTTGAGCTATGGAGAAGGTAAATTTCAACCATAACAACTTGCATTTACATAGTGCCCCTCAGGCAGGGTAGCTTCTCCCCCTCCCCACCCTCTCATTCAACCTCTCCTCACCTGATGGTGTTGCTGTGTGTGGGCAGGATCTCGGACCGTGGCGGTGGCATTGCTCACAGCATCGTGGACAAGGTGATGGACTATCACTTCACCACGGCCGAGGAGAGCACACAGAACCCCAGGATGAACACCTTCTTCGGGAATATCCTGAACAGCGGCCCACAGTCAGGACCCATGCACGGGTAAGTGAGACGACGACGACAACAACAACAACGCATTGCATTTATCTAGCCCCCACACAGTGGTTCATGAGAGGCCGTGAGCAATTGCACGTTACACCAGCAGCAAACTGGCATCAGGGTGTCCGAGAGGCTTCCAGACAGAGCAACTGTAGTAAAAGTACCATTGCAGTATCTCCTGTGAAGGACTTGGGGACATCTCAATGGCGTGATTATCATAATTATTATTATTATCACAATCATTCTCTTTTGAGTGTCTTATCCTTGCGAGTGTTTGAGCGAGTCTCTCTGTCTGGCTGTCTGTGCCAGGGCTCTGCAGCGTTTTGATGTGTTTGTGTCCTGTTACCCAGGTTCGGCTTTGGCTTGCCCACCTCCCGAGCCTACGCCGAGTACCTGGGAGGATCCCTCGCCATCCAGTCCATGCAGGGCATCGGGACAGACGTTTACCTGCGGCTCCGACATATCGACGGGAACGAGGAGAGCTTCCGCATCTAACTTCCCATCGGGTTCAGCTCCCTCTTCTGAGCCCAGGGACACTGTTATGACGTGGGGTGTGGTGGGCCACTAATCCACCCTGGACGGCACCCACCACCACCACCACCATCCGACTCTCGCTCACTCTGAAGAACTGGCCTCGGAGAGATGAGTTGTTGACAGAGGCTGTTGTCAGTGAAACCATCTGGATTGGCTTGTGTTACCTGAGGGTGGTAATTACGATGGACAATGAAGGCAAAGTGACTTGGGAACAAGTTCCGCACCTTTACTCGCCTTTAACTTTGGCTAAGAGGCAGGAGAGGTTTTTTTTTACTAACGTTGTCAGGAACCCGGCTGTTTGCTGCGTTAGTCAGTTCTGTAGAATCCTTTGCCGGCACTGCCATCTCCTGGTACAACCCGGGAACGTTAATTTCAGTGACTTCATTACGCATTCGTCTGTTCGTTGTTGGCGTTTTGAAGTGGACAGAGAGCGAGAGACGGAGAGAGCGAAAGAAGCAGAATCGAGCCCCGCAATTCACCAGGAAGCCACTTTTTAAGAGTTTTGTAAGAAGACTTTTGTTACCACATGATTCAGTAGTTTTCTGATTATTAACCTTTTGTACACGTTTCACAGTAACTATTGCCACAGTGAGATTGGAGGCCTGTGACGGTCGCACGTTATTCACCGAATCGGCAGTTATAAAGCCGGTCAGCAGGAGGCGCTGTCGGCACCAGAGACTGACAGCTGAACGTGTGGAAACCAGGGAACCACTACTCGCTCTCCGACTCTGTGTGTTACATAACGCTTCACCCACAAAGCACACAGTCAATGCACTTTGCAGTACATTCTGTGAAGCGCTTTGAGACGTCTCGACGACATGATGAGGTGCTAATAATCAAATGCAAAGATTATTATTATTAAACAAAGCTTAAAATGACACCAGGAGTTAACTGAACAGAACATATCTGGTCTTAATTAAACACAGTAAGCTTTAAAATTTGTTTTTATTGTATTGAACATTTTTGGTCAGTAACTGAAATATGTCTAGTGACGTAAATCAGGCTATTCAGTTACCTTATTCAACACATTAAACTGTTAGCATTTTACACACAACCTTTATTTTAATTCAGTCTATGTTAAATTTAGGAAACAAGTTGGACAGCGGTTTACAATGAAATTGTGTTTCAGTAAATTGACAGGAGATGAGTTGATTTGATAGTTTCCACGCTGATGTGGAATTGTTGGTTATTATTGAGTCAGTTACTAAATTCCTGGTAAAGGTTGATAATTTTCATGTGACACGGCCCAATGCCAATTGGTGATTCTCAAATCATCACCAGTGTGAGTGAGGTGTCTGTGTATATAGATTAGTAATAATCAATGGGGAAATGTTGTGGGGATTCACACCAAAGCATTGTTTGAAGGTTTAATATTCACCTGCATTATAAACGGCCTGGAGTCAGCAAACACAATGACATTGCTGTATGGAGGGACAGTAGAACAAAGTGGAACTGTATCACACACAAGCATTAAAAACACCACTTCACGAGTCCCCCTTCAGTACTGTGTTGGGCTGTTAAACACATGTAACCTCCAGGCTTACATTTGTCTGTGCTGTTAAGGGCTATCCTCATCCAATAGCATTATTAGCTAATTTGCACACATTCTCTAAATGGCTTGTTCACTTGATGCCCATTTGCAGATGGTTCCAGTGTGGAGGTGTTTGTTCAGCGGATGCTTTTGCCTGAAAGGTGTACAAGTGATTGTGAATGAAAAGGTATTAATAAAATTTGGTGGACTGAATTGAGTTAAACATTTTTAAGACATGTTCGTACCCAACTGTGAAACGTTCACTGCAAATGGTATCTCTTGGGTCAGTGGGAAACTTCTGGGCAGAGTCTTCTTGCTCGAGATACAGATGTCTTCGATTGTAAAACAACCAGAAACTTGTTTGAAACTTAAGTAAAACTTTTATTCAAGTATAATCAAGATTTTGAAGTACAGCATGTTTTGTGTGGCTACAAATTCAAAATAGAGCATCAGCAGAACACAGAGTAAGATCTGGCAGAACATTATGTACAAGTGGTGCGAATGCCTTTATTTAAAAAAAAATCAGCACAGAAATAAAAAAAACGTTTACAAAAATCCTGCAGGTCTTCATTAAGAAGGAGAAACTTACACCAACAAATAGCACAACCTGAATGTAGGCATCAAACTGTGAACTTACACAGTACACCAAGAACTTTGATCCATAAATGGGTGGAGGACATGTGGACCACGCCACGCCTACCCTCATAGGCCCAGGAACATTTAAGACATCAAGGGCTCGTAGGCAGCTCTGTATAGTCGTCCCCAGCTTTTGTTCTTGCTCCTCGTTTCATCCTGAATGTGCTGAGGGGTCAGTTCTGCTGAGCAATACATTGGCACAATCCATAGAACCACAGAACCCTCCAAGCACTTTGTTGGGTCTCCATCAAACCTCATTCAACCAGCGCTGGCAAAAACCTGGGCCACATGACTTACTTTTCAATATACAAGTCGACTGATCAAGAATGTAGATAAACGGCTCAAACAAAATGGGGGGGAATAGAATAGCCAACGGTACAATAACAATGCTCAGAGTATTGGTCAGAAACAATGAAGAAGTCAATTCAAAGACAATCAGTGGTAAAAAAAAAAACCCTTGGACTCTTTCTGCCGTTGCTGTCAGTCTGTCTTTTTTTGCATCAGCAACAGAGAATTTCTTTCTCCAGCACGTTCTGTACTAAATATCTGATTGCGTTCGATTTAATTCAAATGACACTGTGTGAATGGCAACCGGGTCAATTCTAGAGCAGAAATGGGCTACACGCCCAGGCTCAAACCACATCAATTCTAAATTTATTTAAATATATTACCACCTCCTCCCCAACCTCCTTTCAATTCCCAAAGGTATTTTAAGTCCTTTTATCCTCTACAAGAGGTATTTTTCCACAGGCTCCCTCCAATGGCCATTCATCATATAGGACTCAATAGTGACTCTCAGCTATTTGCTTACAGCAGCATTTTCCCACAACCAAGCCAGATCCTGGAGACACTGGAAAGGAATTAGGAGCAGAAATCCTGGCTGGTTATTCTCTCTCTCATAACCTGCAGCTCTGGGACTAATTGATCAGAGAATACGGAGTCTGGGACCTTCTCTATGCCTAAGCCACTCACTGGATAAACTCAGCGAGCCATTTAGGAGACAAGGCAAAGTTTCTTAAAAGTAGCAAGTGAAGCAATTGTGAAAGATGTGTGTCTAGTTCACACGTGCCATTTTGCTCAGATTCTTCTGAATCTGGAATCCATCTGAGAACTCTGTTTGGAGCTCGTGACTACATGTTAACTAACGTCCTGCACAATGCATCAGATCTCAGAGTATAATTGGATGTCACTCTCGCACAGTGGGTGGGTTTACTGAGCAGGTTCACGTATAGATTAGGATCCTCAATGAGCAATTCCAGACTAAACTCTAGGCTAAAACCAGGGGCCAAAGTCAGGTAGTTGCAGTTTTCTCAAGAAGGTTGTCTCGGGATTCAACACGACTCGTCAAGATTTGGTTTGGCGTATCAATTGAATGATGGACCTCTCCTGGGGCTAGAGGGTAATTAACAGGTTGTCAGAGTGTGGCTGAGGCCAGGACACTAGGACTTGATCAAAAAATAGCTTGATGCTGTGATGGTAGACAGGAGGGTGGGTATTCTGGAGGGATGAAATCAGATGGGCTGAATCCTTGTTAATTCCTCAAAATAATCTATCTCCCTGTTGTTTGCAGAAGGCAGAGATGCTGTGGTAACTGTCTGCTATCCAAACAAATAGGATTTACAGAGTGGTAGAAAGGACCTATTCTAAGTGTCTGGGGTGTGTGTGTAACATGCTAGGGGAAGGATTTGTCCCTCAACGTAGATACTATCAGCAATAAGAAAGCAGGGGTGAACAACATCCATCAATAAACTAGATAATTCAGTATCCAATAGTAGCCCTACACCACAGAAAGCAGTAATATCAGGGTATCAAGGGATATGGGGCAAGGGTGGGTCATTGGAGCTGAGGTACAGATCAGCCATGATCCTATAGAATGGCGGAACAGGCTCGAGGGAATGAATGACATCCTCCTGTTCCTATGAGCACATTTGTCAGTGAAGCTTAAACGAGGTTGTGATGGGTTTCTACAGCCACAGAGCACAATGTGTCGCTAATCTAATAAAAAAAATAGAGACCCGAAAAACCTCACGATTTAAACAAGGACCATTCATTCCACAAGGGATCGTATTCCAGCTTACACTTGCTAAGCGGTTATCTTTTCCTGCCAACTCGTGTTGGCTATGGGTGCCACCCACTCCTGTATCTCTTCCCAGCCCCCCCCCACCACCCCCAAACTCGGCATGTGTGAGCCCAGACAGTGAGTGACGGCTACTATCTACCAATGGGACATCACAGCTCAGCCAGCCCGACCGACCCAATCCTTGCTCACATGCACTTTGCAGCAAAGGTTTCTGAATGGCAATTGGGAGTTGGGACCTTGGCTGGTATTGCCCTGCCTAGCTCAGGGGGTGCTGTAGGCAGCTGTAGCCCATACCAAAGCCCTGGCTAAAATCAGGTAGCCCATTTGAACCCGGTTTAATCTATGAACTGAGCAGTGCCTTTAAGCACTGGCCTAACAGTGAAAGCAACTGTGAGCCCCAACATTCCCTCTCCGAGCCAAGCCTGGCTGAGACCAACAAGCAGCAAGTAGTCTGAGACGCTGCACCGTGAATGTGAAAGGTTCTCTCCTAGTGAGAACACAAGCAGATTTAGTGTTAGAAACCCTAGCCCACTTACAGCGATAGATTTGCTAGTAAAAACAGTCAGGCTGTGCTTTGAATGCAATGTTAATCTCCTAAACTAGAGAAGCTGATGGAGCCCGGGAAACAAAACAGCAACAAAACATGAAGGAAAATCAGAACGTGAATCAGATGAATTTGAAGTTATAAATCAGATATTCTCTTCCCTGCCTCAATCGGTGTTAATGTCTGTTCTGGAGCAGTCCCAATTAGTTGAGTGTTAAACTCTCTCTCCTGCAGTCGTATACAGGCTGAATCATATGGGTTCATTGCAAAAGAAACATTGCAAAATAAAGTTCTGCTTACAATACCACAGAAATAAACAGTGCAATAAACCAGCCTCCAGAGACACAAACAGTTGGCAGGCCCTTTGTTGGAACACAATGGCTGCCGAAAATTGGTGTCATAAAAGGATCAAAACCAATGTAAAAACACGCAAGAGCAACACAATAAAACTCGCTCCAATCCCCAGCCATTGTGAAGCCATTTAATCAGAGCCCTAATATATTGTTACTTGCCCGACGAGCCAACGATGTAGCCATTTACTCACATTCACCACTGTTGGTACATTGCTGGGTTTGGGAAGTGAAGGGAACTGGATCCCAATAGTGAAGTCACTCATTTCACCAAATAGGATTACGACAGAACGACAAGCGCCACATCGCGCTCCGCTGTGAAGTGGACACTGTCAAAAAATCTTTAGCAGCGCGAGTGGGTGCAAGGTTCCAGGGTTGTGGTTTAGTTCAGGAAAACGCCAGCAACGCAGAGTGAATGGGAAAGCACTTTTACTGTTCGCTCCGTGGCCACTTTGTATTTTGTGCGGTGACCCATTATCCGCACTGTTTCCACATCCACAACAGGGGTCGCTCTCGCGGAGTGCAGGAAGGCAGGCTCGCTCGCCACTGTATTCAGGGTCATCTCAATGCAGTTATCTGCAGGTCTCTCGTTCCCCGGTGCTCACTTGCTTAAGTCGTCTTGGATTTCCAGGCTAGTCTTTTAAATACTATCAAGTGTAGAATTACCACATTTTGCCCAGACTCATGCCCGTTATGTAAACACACCTCACAGCTTACAATATTTCTCAGTAATAAAATCTGTGAAAACAAACAAAGACTCTTCAAGGTTCTCTGAGCCTCACGTTGCATAATCTGCCCACGATGCGCTGCAGAAATGCATTGTCATAGCAACTCAGGTGACCTAAATAAATGTGCCAGACTGTTTTAGCCAAAGGAATAAGATACACGTGGGAAAACTTAGGGCAGGAATTAAAGAATGTCGGTTTTACTGAATTACTTCACCGCTGCGGTCTGGACTGAAATGTCTTCTGAATTAACTCTTAAGTTGCCTCTGATGTCAATTTACATTGAGCTTCCCTGGTTACTGTACACAAGATACCAAAACAGAAGTCGCTGGGAACACTCAGCAGGTCACGCACTTAATGTGTCAGGTCGATGACATTTCATCAACGTTAACTCACTTTCCTCTCTCCATAGATCCCGCCTGACCTGCTGAGTGTTCTCAGCAACTTCTGTTTGTATTTCAGATTTTGAGCATCTGCAGTATTTTACCTACTGTACACATTAATTTGCTTTGAAGTGACCATGCAGTTCCTAGCTTTCTCCTTCAATTTCAGCTCAGAGACTGACAGGGCCACTTACTTCCGCACCCTATCCCTGTCAATCTTCCACCTTGCAGCTACTCATCGACTGTCACATTGGGGAAAGCCAGTGGTTTAAACAGCAAGTCCTCTCGCACTCCAAAATGGGGGGGGATGGGGGGGAACAAAAGAAAGCTTCGAAGAGAAAGTTTAAAAATGTTAGAATAGATGGTATGTAAAAAATCAGCACAATCAAAAACAAACTAACTGAGAAACAAAATAGCAGAGAGAATAGAATGAAAAAGGAACGACTGGGGAAAGAACCAGCGACATTTTATTTTTACTTTAACTTGTGGTTTGTGTTATCTTTAGTGGTTTAACATTAATATTACAGCAATAAAGGATGGTGTTTTTTTGAACTATCGCAGCTCAAGAGTAAAGAACCTGTAGAACCGCTCAACTCACAGAGACAGACAGCTGTTTCCAAATAACTATCAACGCTGTGCGATAGTTTAAGTCTTGAAATCTGCCACCTATGATTAACACTGCAGAAAACCTGAATGTTTAGGGAAATTGTAGAGTGCAGCTTCCCTCTGGGCTTGGGAGTGTATGGTATTTAGAAGACTCTGCAATAACATTTTGAATTACCGTCTGCAATGAGAATTTAGGCTTTGATATGCCAAGAAAATGGAGATCTTCTTTTCCAAGATCAGAGTGTGCAGCCCATCTTTTAAGCTTTCTTAAGTTATTTAAATGAAAATAACAACATGCATAATATCAGATTTGATATGTATGTTTCCACCATGTTTCTGTGTAATCTTAAATATTCCCTAAATCTACAGTATTGTCTTGAGGGGGAGAAGGGAGGGGGGAAGAGAAGAGGGCAGGAGTTCTGGGGTCGATCCCAGAGAACAATGCTTATTACACCCTGTATTTACAATACAAAAATGTTTTTTTCCCCCCAAAAACCATGCTTCATCTTTTAGGTGAAGACAATGACGTCAGTAATCTCTTGCCAAGACTATACAGCAGTCACAGGATCACTGATGTTACCAGCAGTGAAGGACGCGATGCCCTGGACATTTCCACACTGTCACGGTTCGTTGCACCCAGATCCCTGGCAGCTAGCGAGAGAAAGCTCGCTGTTGTGCTGCGTCCATGCTCTCAGTCAGGAGTGTTCCTGTCAAGACATCCTGCCATGCTACTTCGTAGGTCGTAAACGGCTTCGTGTTAAAAGTTTGTCCTCGGGAAGTTCAAAGGGAACAGTGGCCGCCATCCCGTCCACAAACTGCTGGCAGGCCTTGGGGGCAATCAGTCTGCAATTCCGCAGGTCGATTCGGACGAGGTTTGGGCAGTGTTTAAGTAGCAGCAAGCACTGATCTGTGATTCGATGACAACCTGAAAGAGCAGGTTCAAAAGGCATTAAAGCAGATCTCCACAACTGCTATGTTAATGGGGTACATCGATGAATTCAAATTGGAATGAAAGGAATGGGAAAGCAAAGAGCCTCACACCTGGTCTCACACTGTGCCACAACCAACTACAAGCAATCTATGTGTATAAATCGCTTCCTTGCTCCATTGCTGGTAGTGTGGTGACATTTATTTTGAACACACATATACACACACACCACCACAACAACAAAATGACATTTGTATAATGCCTTTCACGTCGCGAGGACGTCCCAAGGCGCTGAAAGACACAGACACACACAGTCAGAAGAACTTTATTTATATAGTCACCGAGCTTCAGTTTTTACTCTGTGGTAGCACGAAAATCAATATCATTCTATATCAGAGTCCTGGACAGAAACATTATGCCCCCAAGAAAGATGAAAGTCCTGCCTGAAATGTCTGTATATTGGAGCAGTATCAAATGGGTATACACACACACGCTGCCAAGTCCAAATCAATCATCCTTTACAGGATCAATTATCAATGATCAATCATCAGGCACCAAGTTCATATTCCCCAATATCCACAACTGGTGAAGAGGGCTAAGTTATAAGATCTCCGTTTACAAAGAAAAATGCCCAAATGCCTCTGATTGAATAGCTATCCAGAGTGATATCAAGCCAGTAACCTCAGCTCAGCTCACAAGTAACCACAGATTTGGCCTAATGGCTGATGTCTGAAAGTGAGCTACACTCACTGGGTCTCTGAAAAAGTAGCAGGCGTTAGAATTGCAAAAGGGGCTCTGTCTTACCTGCCAGGCTGATCTCTGTCAGCGTTTCCCGGGTGGAAGATCCGGCAGTGGTGAGGAGGGCGATGGACTGGTCTGTCACGTGGCTGCACTGGCTGAGGTCCAGCTTGTTCAGCACAGGCATGTGGCGGGTGATCAGCGCCAGAGACGAGTCAGTGAGATCGAGGCCAGCCAAGCGCACCTCCGTGAGATTCCACAATCTGCTCTGGTGATCATTCTGACCTGCAGAACGAATCGTAGGATCATAGAATCTTACAGCTCAGGTGAGAGGCATTTGGCCACTTGTGCGTGTAAATTGTTGTTATTGTTGTAAAGGACACTGAACATACTAAAAATACGGGAGGTTAAAAAACACAAATCTTTCTCCACCCAAAATAACACAAAATATTGGAGGTGTCATAAAATGAACACAAGTAACTTCTGTCTGGATGAGTTGGGGTGAGTGAGTGAGTTATGTCAAAGTTGTTTTTAAGTGGACTCAAATGATATGGCTTCAGTGCACTCTGCACAGAACACTGTACAGTCAGGAGGACTGTCACGGAGCAGGCAGTGGTAAAATGAAATGATTTTTAAACTATGGTTTGCTAATGGATGATGAAAATCCTGCGAACTTGTAGCTTGAACTGACCTATTCTGCAATCTGTAGGCGGTGAAAGCAGTTCCCTCATCTGTGAGTCCTTAAGATCTTCCACCCAGCGGAGATCCAGCATGCGGAGGAGCGGGCAATTTGGTGTACAAAGTGCAGAGATTGCGCTCCACACGCAACCCGCAAGTGCCAGGATTTTCAAATCTGTTCAAGACAAAACGTTCAGAATTCACACCACTTAAAAATAGACAAACACACAACAGATGGCTGGTTAATCTCAGCCCATGAAAACACTATTGGTCTAATTTTATAGATAAACACTCGAGTGTGGTTTATTAATTCTGTGCAATTGTTTTCAAACACCTGCACAGTGTCACTAACAAACCACAGCACAACACTGATGAAGAGGTCTAACTAACAGCCTTACACTCATAGAGTAAGCAGGAATCTCAAACACAAAATATACGTGTAAATTTACAGTATGTGACGCTTTGAGACATTTCGAAGACGTGATAAGGACCTATATCAAATGCAAGGATTATTATTATTATTATTAATTCCTTCTTCTTTGGAATTTCACTCCACTTTCATCACTCCCACCCTCGCCCGACTCCACTGGCTCCCCATTCCCCAGAGGATCGAGTTGAGGATCCTCGTCCTCACCTTTAAGGCCATCCATGGCCTTGCCCCCTCCTACCTCTCTGACCTACTGACTCCCTACCAACTTGCCCGCTCCCTCCGTTCAGCGGGCTCCGGCCCGACCCACCTACCTTCAGTGGCCGGGCTTTCAGCCTCTCTGCCCCCACACTCTGGAACTCCATCCCACGGTCCCTTTGGCTCGCTTCCTCCCTTGCCTCCTGCAAGGCCGGTCTCAAGACTCTTCTCTTCGACCGTGCCTTTGGTCGCCCTCCCACCTCTCTGCCTTCCCTCACCTCTACCCCACCCCTCCCCCATGCTCAGCACCAGACTGTTCAGCCCTTTGGGACGTCCTCCCGATGTGAAAGGTACTCTATAAATGTCATTTTGTTATTTGTTGTTGTTTCTCAATCAGTTTCAATGGGATATGGGACATAAATTAGGAGGAACTCTTAAGAGGACTGCAAGACTATTTCAGTTTTCAAATGTATAGGGGTTTTCCTGTCTACAGTTTCATTTAGGAGCATGTAATGATATGCCCTGAACTGCAGCAGTTATTGTTGTGGGGTGCACCAATGGATCTTTGCAGAAGTACTATAGAAAGACACTATATAAATGCAAATTGTCGTTGGCACGATACAAACAGTTAATGGTGGTTCAACTACAATCTGAAGCACCTTCATGCTATATCAAATGCAAGCATTATTATTATTAATAACCTCTCCAGAGCACAGACAAACCAATGGCCTGGATCTCTAAACAAGCAGGATTTTGCAGGATGCAATGTAACCTAGCGCGATAGTGTTCAAATAAGGATCAGATTCTGAAGGTAAAAATAATACACGTCTAACCACAGCATCACTCCAGTTTCACAGCTAATTTAGATCTAGGTCAGCACTTCAAGTGACATCTCATCGGCATTGCTGCAATTGCATTAACTGGAGCAGATGGACTGCAAGTTGATCACAGGCAGGAAGTCTTGAATTCAAACACTGCCTCAACCAAGAATAGTTACCATTCTCTAGAGGTGGGGACTAGAGGTGTCCTTCCATTCACACACCTGAGCAGTAACACTTACACCAGTATACACATAATTTACTGGTAAAATGGAGACTTCAACTGAGACAATCAGCCCTCGAAATACAAGGTATCTATTTAGATCATGGAGAGGCATTTCCTACCTTCTTTCAATGCACCACGTAGCCCATTACATACCAGTTGTGCCTCCCAAATAATCTTCTGACTAATAAAATCATTAATTCCAGTTAGAAGTTTGTCTTTATTATTATTATTGCTTCCACCATTCTACAATACAATTCAATGCATCTGCATGAATTTCTCTTAACTTGGTTACGTTCAGTCACTTCTCAAGCCTCCCCAAAAAAGCCTGGGAGAGTTTCTTATCACATAATCACTCTACATATTTATATATATATATATATATATACATACACACACACACACTATATACACTGTGTCAAGGCCAGGATGTCCTGCTCATTATTGTACTTCAGTATGAATCTTGGACTGTCCGAATCTCATACCAACTTCTAAGCAAGTCAAGTGTAGAAATGCCAGACCACAGTGCTGGGAACCTGCAGTTGAAGCAATACCCATCAATGGCTTCCATTGCTTTAATTGTCACCCACATCCAGGGACTGAGGTGTATTAAATTAAATCAGAATTTTCCCGACGTGAAAGGCGCTCTATAAATAAAATCTTGTTGTTGTTGTTGTATAGCCACAGGACAGCTGAAGTGTGAGGAGTGATTTCAAACACAATAACATTTTGTGAAGTCTATCGTTAGCCTTTCCTTTGGTTTATTGTGGACCAAGGTGCAAAAAAAGAAAGATACATTCAGCGATTAGCTCATTTTGTGAGATTTCTCTTGGTGAGGTAGCGCTGCCACAGTTAAACACAGACACAGACCCAGGAACACAAGGGAAAGTCAGTCTTACTTTGCAACTTGTTTATGAGCCAACTGAGCTGTTTCTTAGAGATGTTGGTCCAGCTAAGGTCCAGTGTGATTGGCTGTCTCCGAATGATGCCGCTCAGCATGGTGGGAGTGATGGACTTACAGCGGCTCAGGCTGATGGTGGTCCACAGGCGCTTGTCACAACACCTGAAACATTGAGAGAGGTGATGAGAGCCTGAGAAATAAACTACCACACACACACATCCACTACGTCAAACAACACCCACCCACCCAAGTCAAACGCACCCACCCACACACACAAGCACCCACCCACGCGACAAGCACTCACCCCCACACACTCAATTAGCCAGAAACCTTGGGTTATGGAAGATTTTTGTCAGTTTTGAATGTTTCCTATCTTGGTTTCACGGATATAGTAGTGGTTACCATTATTAACCAAACGATTAATATTATAATAATCCTCGCATTTGATATAGCGCTTTTCACATCTTCTCGACGTCTCAAAGCGCTTCACAGAATAGACTGTAAAGTGAATTGACCGTATATTTGTGGGCGAAACGCGGCAGCCAATTGTGCGCAGCAGTGTCCCACTAACATTTGTGGATTGAAAATGACCAATTTATTTTTGTTTTGTTTTGAGGGATTATTATTAGGCGTGTGGAGTAAGGAAACTTGCCCGAGGTTTCGCCCAAAGTAATAAACTTGAATGCAAGTTTTTGCTGGTGCTATTTATTTGGGGAATACAATCAACTCCCATCCCCTTTTATAGTCACACACACACATGGCTGGGTCATGCAAATTGAAGAACTAATCCTGGACACATGTTTTGCTGAGAAGTCAGTCAGTTTTGAGTCTGAATCAGCATGTTGCTGTTCCACTTGTAGCAGCATTTTTCCTGTGCTAACCGCAACTACACTGGAGCCTGGATGAGAGGCACTAAGCAAATTCACTAAATAGGAAGTGAGACAACAAAGTGCAGTTTTACTTTGCAATTTGCTTTAAATAGGCCCATTTGGCGGCAGAAGCCTGAAGCAAAATAAGGCACGGGGGAACTGAAAGTCACCGCTAGGTGGTAGCAAACACACAGTGACTGAGAATCATTTGTGTAACAGACTGGACCACTATAATCCAAACCTGAAACACTCCAATAACATTAACCAATCTGGATTATTCACGACATTACACAGAGAGTTTAATGCTATAAAATGGAACATTTTACAGTTAAAACCCATCTTTCTCCATTGGCTGATTTAGCATTCAAGGCTGAGACTGATAGATTTTTAAACAATAGAGGGATTAGGGGATATGGGGATAGGGCAGGTAATTAGAGTTAGGTCAGAAGATCAGCCATGATCTTATCGAATGGCGGGGCAGGGCTCGAGGGGCCGAATGGCCGACTCCTGCTCTTAGTTCTTATGTTCTTATAACCCCAATCAACATGAATGTTGTAAAACCACTCTTAGAAGACGTGACAAGCCGCTATATGAAATGGAATTATTATTACTATCATTATACAGAGGGGGCCAGATTGTTGGTGTTTGCGACAGTAATGGAAAATAAGAACCTTGATGCTAAAGCCTTCTGATCATTCAAAAAAGTGAAACATTACAATTAATTCCAATTCAACGACTGACAAACACATGCATCAGTTATATAAAGACATTCAGTTGTACAAGAATTTCAGTCTATGTTGAAAGCTGATTGCTTCAGATGTGAAGATAACAGGATATATTAATAATAATCCTTGCATTTGATGTAGAGCCTTATCACGTCACTGAGACGTTTCAAAGCGCTGCACAGAATATACTGCAAAGTGAAATGACTATATTTTGTGGGGGATAAGCACCTGAGAAGTAAAAACATTAAGGGTTATATGGGGGAAAAGAGTTGAAAAATTGGATTAATTGAACCCACGTAATCTAAACTGACATTGTGGTCAGTGCTGAGGGGCGCTATACTGTGGGACGTGCCATTTTTTGATGGGATGTCTCACCTGGGCCTGTTCAGGTGGATGGTAAGGATTTCAAGATCCCATGAAGCAATTCAAAAGGAGAAGGCAATGTCTCCTGGTGCCTTGGCTATCAATCCCCCCTAATAAAACTGGTCATTTACTTCATGGCTGTTTGTGGGGCATTGCTATGTGCAAATTGACTGCGGCAATCATCTACAAAATACAGTTACTACACTTCACAGTAAATCCTGTGAAGCGCTTTGAGATGTCCTCCTGACATGAAAGTCGCTATATCAAATGCAAGGATTATTATTGCTAATTATTATTAATAATATTAATAATGACAACTTAAAAAGCACAGAGGCTACAGTGGCAAAGAAACATTGGCCAAACAGACACATCCTGTATGAAAATATGCTCGACTGAGAAGCCTTGATGAGGGAAGTGGCAGGGAGGAAACACAAGCTTGGCAATAATAGAGGGAGCGGAGCCAACATCAGTGAATAGCCACACTGCTTCACTGATGTCGTCATTTCAACTCCCTTACACCGTCGAGGCTTCTTAGCAAGTCCTCCAGATGAGCTCATCGCCATCACTTTAAACTGGCTCCTTAAACCACCGCTTCATAAAAATATTAAAATGATAATTCACAGTCATGGGTTAGTTTCTAAACAGAATGCCAACATCTGGTTTAACTCACGAGCAGCAAATGAGCTGAAATTCTGCTTCCACGTAGCACCGTTGGCAAAGTCAGTCACTAATGGGGTTTCTGCGTTATAACTGTTGCATCGCCAAAGGCTCTCTCTATGTGTAAGTCCGACCAGAATACCAGCTCACGGGTTTTGCCAGTGAGTTACACAGAGCGGTATGACAAGTCGAAGTGTGACAAGTCTGTATTGCAATTTCCAATGAGGTATTTTAACGGCTCGAATGGTTTGGTTTTGCAGTGTTTTGTTCAAAATTCTAACCTTTCAGGACTGGGGAATGTCTTTGATCTGTTGGCATTTTGCAGCTCAGAGTGGAGCGCTGGGAAGTAGGGCACTGATTAGGCGTGCGTTGCTATAGCGACAGCTGGCACTCAGCGCTGTAGTACACAGATGGCTGAACTTTCCCTAAATACTGATGGCTCGTGGGAAAGCGGTTCTGGTCAGTCTGCTATCTCATGTACATGTAATAAGCAAATGCCTCATCAGTGAGGTAGCCACTATTTATCGCTGGGTTTCAAACACATACTTTGTAGGAACGTCCTGGACTAATGGAACATGGTGTTACGACGTGTACATCAGAACTGGAATTAAACATCCCGTGAGCCACTGGCGAGAAGGATTTGGAGCGAGTGGGAAATATAAAATGTGATCTCCAGTCTGCATTGCTCTACTGTTGCAATGGAGCTCCGGGATGCTACCCCGCGTGAAGAGCACGGCATAAATGCAAGTTGTTGTTGTTGTTGTTGTTGTTGCACTTCTTCTTCCATCACAAGACCGGTAACAAGATAAACACGTACATAAAATAATCTTGGTCCTGTCTCAGAGGTGATGCAACAATCTGAAGGTCGCCATAAAAATCAAACCAAGCCCTAACCAGCACGAATGTTTCTTCCTCCAAGTCCCTCTGCCCACTCGGCACTGCTTCATGCCCCCCATCCCCTCCAACCCAACAAACTTCAGCCGCTTTGCTCCCGCCCTCTGGATCTCTTTTCCCAGACCCCACTACCCTTCATTGCTGCTTTCAAAATCCATTTAAAAATCTCTGTTGGCATCTCCCTCCCAGCTTGGGCTCCAATGCATTCATGAGCTGTTTTTCCTACACAAAAGGGGCTCTGTAAGCAAAAATTGATGTTGCTGTATCAGCCATCAACTGTATTACAGGGTCCTGATATCCAAATCTCTACCTAAGAGGTATAAAAGTACAGACTGACATAAATATGGTGGGTTGGGGAAAAAGGTTAAATAAGGGAGCAGAGACAAAAGAAGAAGCACTGGGGGAAAAGGGGCAAAGGATGTCGGAAAGATAAAAGAGGAAGTCAGGGAGCTAACAAAGAACAGATCAGTCTGATGGTCTGGAACTTTGCGAAGATGTCAACTTCAGGTTCAACTTCTGTGAAGCAGAGTTATGGCCAAAGGAGACAGGAGATGGTGTGGGAGCAGAGATCCAGACGATCAGCTTCAGATACGTCTGTGTGTATGCGGGATTTGCCATTTACAAATCCTTTTGCAAAGCTCACAAATTAGACTCCGCTGCATCCTGCACGTAAGTGAAATGATGTTGGAATCTGTAAACGCACAAACTGACAGACGGAATCACTGGTCCTAGAGTACCATACTGCCCTGATACTTGGATGCCACAAGTACATTTAAGATTTTACAATAATGAATAAAGATCAGGGTTATTGTAATGAAACTGTGTTAAATATTCTATTATAGGCCCCCAATCTGATGAATTTTTTTAGTGCAGCAGTAAATTGAAGTAGACAAGTGCTGACTGTATTTTAAGGACCACAAATGCCTGGTACGTTTGGCAACAGGACCTCAGGGATAAATTAATATCAAGTTCAAAAATCATCACTGAACAGTAGGATTTGGGCAGGTAATAATAATCGTTGCATTTCATATAGTGCCTTATCACAACAACAACAACTTGGATTTATATAGCACCCTCCACGCCGGACAGAACAGTTTACAGTAACGGAACCCGGCGCCGAGATCACCGAGGCACCTCAAAGGGCTTCACCGAATATATTGTAGAGTGAATTGACTGCATATTTTGTGGGTGAAATGCAACAGCAAATCAAGTATTTTAAAAATGCACATTTACATATTGTAACATCGAGTGCACGAATATAAAGTAAGACACCTGGGAGACAAAAATAATTTGATCACTCAATCCACGACTGTTTGTGGGACACTGCTTGTGTGCAATTGGCTGCTGTGTTACTCCCACAGTCAATACACTCTACAGTACATTCTGTGAAATCTTTGAGACGTCTAGAAGATGTGATAAGGTGCTATATTAAATGCAAGGATGATTATTATTATATACAGTATTTACCAAGTACACAAAATAAGCTGTTTAGATGACACCAGCAGAACAAGAGGAAATTCGACTTTATGCACCAAATATACTTCTTGCAAGTTATTCTAAAGAGTGTCTTTCTTCTCAGTTCTTCAATACACAGGAATTTGGGGACAAAGATCATAGGTCAGTGACTTGGGCACAAACTGTGCCATCAACTTTG